TCAAGTTGATTGGAAGATGTGAACCATGACCCTACAATAAGGGAGTGGCAATGTCTGGAATGCTAGGCGTACCGAAAGATAAGCAGTTCTAAGCATTCCTCCATGCCGTGCTGATGTGTTTTAACATTAATAAAAGCTTTTAGGAGAAAACATGCCTGAAAGTCCTTTTAAGTGTTTCATTACTCAGACACATGACAGCTTGTTTCTCGGCTGTATAATCACCAGCCATCTGATCTTCTTGCAGTTGTCAGTGCAACCCGCATCAGAAGCCCTGATGTTGGTTAATCTTTACGATATGCTTGAATCTTGATCTTTGAAATCATCTTTCTCGCTAACTTCAGAGGGATCTTGTTCTATGTGCAGTATATCAGCTTTGTGTGGAGTTGTGTTTATTAGCCCTAATTACTGATGTCTTTGCATTAATTGCTTAATGGCAGTTCCCCTCCACCCAAGGGGTGGGGCATGTATTGCGTGTCCCAAAATTGTGCTTTATCACCGCAAATGCTTACTCAATAACCAATCTTTCAACATGGCCAGAAAACAATCTTTATGTGATTTTCCAGGATCTCAAGTGGCTTCATAAATCTCAGTTATCTTTTCCAGCACCTCAAGTGACATCATCAATTTAGGTTTATGTCGTCCTGATAGTTAAGATTGCTGGAAATAGATAAGTTCAAGTTTCAGAAACTGTCTGCAAGAATGATTTTTTTAATAGGGAACTTAATACTATATTTCAGTGAAATTAATTTTAATGTTTTTATATTGGTATATTCCTCACAGGAATTCAGGATGACAAAGGTTTATCTCACGGCCACTTTCTAAAACATGCCTTTCAGCGATTAGTATCTGAATAAGGTAGCACTTTTGTTAAGTCCTCTAAGAGACTAATATGGCATATTATAAATGTTAAGACATACCAGGTTTTCTTCAAAGCATGTCATAAATATTAATATTCATACAAGCAGAAAAAAAAGAAAGAAACTGCTAAATCATAGTTACCTAAATGGCTTGGGTAGAAGGCTATCATAGCCTCTTGTCAAGGAGCAAATAATAAAGAACATTTTTACGACGAGTTTTGTACCTGAATGAGATCTATTGATGCATATCAGCAGTAACCTAAACTCTATACTAGTGGGTCACTACCACTGAAAGGCATGATTTTAGGATTAATGAACTTTGTGCAGCATTGTAGTGTAATACACAATTTGCAGCAGACAACTGTGGCCAGTTTTTTGCCAGTCTTTTTTGGAATAAGATTCGATAAATTCATTTGGACATTCAGTGCGTTTGGTTGGAAGATAAATCCCATACGCATGGTTAAATGAATAAATAAAATTAAATTCACTTAGAAAGTAAAATAGATTTGGTGTTCTCTATTATGGTTTGACTTCACAGAGTTGTCTAAAATAAATCACCTCAGAATAGTTTACTTATATCCCTCTCATTTACAGGAAGTATCTGGTATGCAAAATTAATTATTTAACCGTACAATGTACTATAGCAGTAATCAGTAATCATGTAAGAGACTTTACAAACAAGAAACATAAAGGCAAGTGAAGAATTTCAAAAGGAATACCAAGATTCCATTGATGTTTAAAATAAACTGAAATAGTCTTCCAAGTGTGCTAAATGTAGGTTTGGTCAGTTTCCAGTAGGAAACTTTTTTTTTTTCTTTTTTAAGTTCAGTCTCCAGATGAGCTGGTAAGAAAAATCCTTGAAATCCTAAATGGGCTTATATGGGAATAAATTGACCAAGTCCCCAAATATTTAAAGCTTTAAAAGTTAGGTTCAGGTCTTGAACTTAAAAGCCTTTAGGAAGCTAGTGGAAATTCTAGACGATCAAGAGTTAAATGTTCTGATTTATAAGCACCAGAAAAAAGAGTCTGGTTGCCTCATTTGGTCCAACTGAAAGTTTTTGTTTAAAGTATTTGGAAATCATACTTTAAGATAACTTTAAACAATGGAAAAGGGAGTATTTGCTTGCCATCTCAGCCACCACTTAGAACAATGGCCATTGATCCTAAAAATTCCTGTACACTAGTTTTTAAGTCTGTGTGACATATGATGTCATCCCTTTGTCTAAGACTGTGCATGGCACAGTAGGAATAAATAACACCGCAGTCAAAAAGTATGTAGTTTTTCAAGTAGATGAAAAGCCAATTTTTCTGGGTGGTGATTTTCAAAACTCTTTTGAAAGTACCAAGGTATCAAACAGTAGTTTTCATGTGACTAATCTCTTAGGTGCAGAAAGTCAGGCAGTGCTGCATGGCCTGGGGCTTTTCAGGAGAAACTGGAATTGGGACTTGCATGGCTGGAACTTAGTCTTTGTGCATTATTAGAAGTTTGTGAAATTGGCTACAGGAAGTGTTTTTTTAAAAAAAGTTTGAAAAAGGGGAGGGGGCCTCCTACTACCAAAAATCAGTGCTTTGGACATCAAAACTGTCAAATGAGTTTTGAGGGGCCACCTGTAGACCAAGGCCTATTCCTACCCCCCCCCCCCGCCCCACACTTCCTACCCTTATTGTAAAGGGACTTGTTGACTCATTTTGTAAGCGCTGCATTTCAAACCGACTGTTTAATTTGTCTGATTGGAAAAAACAGCTCTTGCCAAGCAGGTTCTGATTCTCTTGCTTTTGCAGCTTCCACCCGCTTTGTGAAATGTGAAAAATGCCACCACTTCTTCGTTGTGTTGTCAGAAGCCGACTCCAAGAAAAGCATCCTTAAAGAACCAGAGACAGCGGCAGAAGCGGTCAAATTGGCCTTCCAACAGAAGCCGCCCCCTCCGCCCAAGAAGGTACAGCCGATTGACCTTAGCTGAGGGGACATCATCTCTTTCATATTGTTTGCTTTTTTTAAAATTTAAATGGAAGAGCTAAATTACCCTAGCCTCATTAGTTGGGCCCTTAATCTACCATCTCTTGTGAAATCATACTACCCTTTCCTCTAGATGTTGAGACTCTGGAAAGAGTGCAGAGAAGAGCAACAGAGATGATTAGGGGACTGGAGGCTAAAACATACAAGGAAAGGCTGCTGGAATTGGGTAGGTCTAGTTTAATGAAGAGAAGGACGAGGGGAGTTACATGAGAGCAGTCTTCCAGTATCTACCACAAAGCAGCTGAAGGAAGGACAAGAAGCAACGGATGGAAACTAATCAAGGAGAGAAGCAACCTAGAACTAAGGAGAAACTTCCTGACAGTGAGATCAATCGATCAGTGGAACAGCTTGCCTCCAGAAGTTGTGGGTGCTCCATCACTGGAGACTTTTAAGAACAGACTGCATAGCCACTTACATACCTGGAATGGTATAGGCAGGGTCTCCTGCTCGAGCAGGGGGTTGGACTAGAAGGCCTCCAGGGTCCCTTTGAACTCTTGTTATTCTGTCCTATTATTCTGTTATGGATTATGTGACGCTTCACGTCCATCCCAAAGTTTGTCCCCATTCCAAGATCTTTTAAAGTACTGGTACCATCTCACTGTTTCTCAGTTGTTCCAAGAGTTACACTTAAAGAAGAAAAGCCTCTTAGTTTCCAAAAATGCCTTGTGGCTTTCATAGTTTTGTAGGCCTTCCCTGAAATATTTGAAGCTCTATAGGTTTGACAAGCTTTAGAAAAGGGAGTCTTAGACGCAGATTCCATCCGAGAGCCTTCCCATCATTTTTTTTTTAAACTCTGTATTGTCAACTCCTCCAAGCTAACCACCACATGGTGGAGATAAGGAATCTTAAAAAGCTCACAGTATAAAAACAGTGGTGGGGAAAGGAGACTCTTGAATCTTAACAGAAGCTGAATGGTAAATACAGCTGGATTTTTTTTTTTTATTGTGTATCTCTACCAATGAAGCATTCTGATGTTGAGGATCTGTCGGCTTTCTCTGCTAGATTTACAACTACCTCGACAAATACGTTGTTGGTCAGTGTTTCGCAAAGAAGGTGCTTTCAGTTGCTGTGTACAATCACTACAAGAGAATCTACAACAACATCCCGGCCAATCTGAGGCAACAAGTTGAAGTTGAAAAACAAGCCTCTCTAACTCCAAGAGGTTGGTAGAGCATTTTACCTTGCCTTGAGGGACAGTTTGGCACCATCTTTCCTCCTGTTGTCCTTGTACAAATGGCTGTTTAAAAAGTGGGGAGGCCGTTGGTATTAATAGCTTACTTAACACAGGAAGCAGATAGCCAGTACTCCTTATTTTCTTTTCTTTTCTTTTTTTAATTTCGCAAGTTAGCACTTAATAAGGCTCCTTTGTTAAAACTGTCGACCCCGGATGAGTCTGAAGGCTTCCTTAATAGCATATTAAAAAAAGCAGAAAATAAAACAAAGCAGACAAACATAGAAAACATATATCTAAAAGAGGCAACAGAAAAAATGGTTTTTTTAAAAAAAATCAAATTGAAATACAGATTTTTGAGGTTAAAAAATAAATATACGGAGGAATGGAACAAGATCAGTTCTATGTTTTTATTGCCTTCCTCTTGCAAGTTTTCTCTCCCATTACTTTAAAATATTTTAAAAGCTGTTTCATGTTCTCTGTACTGTCAGTACATAGGAACTAACAGCTGGAAGGAATTCCTTCAGGTGTTTGTGAATAAACTCACATAAGGAATTTATGGATAATGAACGTGGAATAGGAGACTATTTGATCTTTGATTCTGCTATAAGCAGTAATAAAAAGTCTGTGTGTGGCCAAAGCCAACACAGCTATTTTTGGGGTGGCACATACACTATTATTAACAAATTAAAGGACAGATTAATCAAATCTTCTTTCCAGCCACAAGGAAGGACAAAAAAAACCCCCAATAGTATTATTATTTTAAAAATGTATAGAATTGTTGCAGCCACCGTGGGAGTGGATGGTTTTATTTATTCAAGGGTGTGGTTTAATCAAAGCATTTGATCTCCTGTAATGATTCGTTACAATATAGAAGTAGAACTACTAAGTTCTTTAGACTTCAGTATGAAGGCTTCTTTGGGATGGCACTATCTGATACCACTATACAGTAACATTTTCCCATTTTTATGCCACCTGGCAGAGTGCAATCTTGGGAGGAAATTCAGCAGAACTTACTTTCCGGGTAGATGCTTATTGCAGGTAGTTCTCAACTTGTGACCAGAACTGAACCCAAAATTTCCTATTGCTAAGCAAGACAGCTGTTAAGCGAGTTTTGCCTCATTTTACAACCTTTCTTGCCATGGTTGTTAAGTGAATCTGGCTTCCCCACGGACTTTGCTTGTCTGAAGGTCACAAAAGGGGATTCCCACGGCCGCGGGACCCTTCAACCATCATGAATAGGAACCAGTTGCCAAGCCTCCGAATTTTGATCACGTGGCCCTGGAGGTGCCACAACCGTCGTAAGCGTGCAAAACGGTCATAAGTCACTTTTTCCCAGTGACATTGTAACTTTGAATGGTCACTCAATGAAGGTTGTAAATTGAGGACTACCTACAAAGTAAAGTGCTATAGAATTTGCTTTTTTTTATTCCAATTGCCACGGCCAAACCGTAGACGCTTGTATTAGCAAGCCTTCTGTGTCGTTATAAGCTGCATTATAAAATTATAAACATTTCACCGGTGAGTGTTTATGTGTGTGGGTGTGTGCATGTTCTTCTCCTTGCTGTCAGTGAAGTCCATTGCTCCATAAACCTGTGTTCAGAAGAGGGCAAGAGGTGAAGAAAATGTAGTGCTTTTTAATATATATCTCTGTCTCCATCATATTACTATTTTCATCCTGTCTCTTAGAATTAGAGATAAGAAGACGGGAGGATGAGTACAGATTTACAAGTAAGTGGTCTCTCCTCATGGCCTCCTCTGCAGTATCTCTTCCTCCCTCCCCACCCTTATTTTAACCACGAGTAGCATTTGAACTGTATTTTTCCATTGCCGGCAAGGGGGTGGCTGCTGGCAGTTTGACCCCCCCTGATTTAGAACATCATCATGTGTTCATTTTGCAACCAGACACCTGAGCCTCATTTATACGGCTTGAAGAGAAATCGGAGATGTGTTTTAATTACTTGCAGAGTAAATATTTCAGTATATTTCGCCATGCATAATGCATAATTTGTGGAAATTTGAATTATTTATTCCGCTTAAATAGAATATCCTGGTGTTGCTCAATCCATTTCTTAAAACCTAAATCCTCTCTTGTCCCAAACCAAACGTTTGTTTGTTTGTTTGTCTGTGAGTTAGCGTGTTTTTGCAAGTGCAGCTGTTGTGGTTGATAAACCACGGTTAATGACGTAGTGTTGTATGTGAGTCGCACTGTTGCCTCTAATTCAGACAGTCCAAGTTAAAGCAATCCATAATTTTCTCCTAGGTATTACACAAAATTTGGATGTAAAAGAAACAAATTTGATGTTATATTGTTTAACTGCTGCCCGTTTGTTGATAGCTCAAAACTGGAAGAGTAAAATTTTACCTACAATGGAAGACTGGAGATTGAAAGTTTCGTATCTTGCTGAAATGGCAAAGATTTCGGCTTATTTGAAGAACTATTCAAATGAACAATTTTTACTAATATGGAGAAGATGGATTGTTTATATTCAAAAGAAGCATAAAGTGGTGGAATATAATTTAGGTTTTTTAAAAAAAAAAATTTTCTATATATATATCTCACCTATTTTTGTAGAATTGCATACATTGTGGAGCTAGAGATATTAATATTTGTTTACTTATATTTGAATATTATCCTGGGATTAGGTTTGGGAAGTCCGGGGGGGTGGGGGGTTTTTATATAGTACTGTGTAGTGTTTGTGAATTTTTCTTTTTTTTTTTGTATGTTGAAAAATAATAAAAATTTTATAATGAAAAAAAAAAAAGCAATCCATAATTTTTGGAGGTGTGTCCACCAAGCTCTTGTGCTGCAAGACCGTCTTCTAACGTTCTTCTCTCTGATAGCTTTCAGGCAAGTGGAAGAATGCGTGGAATTGCGAATGTGCACACTGTGTGGACTATCAAGTCACTTCGTTTCTCAGTTTATGGAATGCTTGTGTATTTCAGAACTTCTCCAGATTGCTGGCATTAGTCCGCACGGCAATGCTTTAGGGGCATCCATGCAGCAGCAGGTGAATCAACAGATGCCTCCGGAAAAACGTGGAGGTGAAGTGTTAGATTCTGCCCACGATGACATCAAGCTCGAAAAAAGCAATATTTTGCTGCTTGGACCAACCGGCTCAGGTGTGCAAGTCCTGTAAATAAAATTTAGAAAGTATTATACAAAATATACAGCAGGTTAAAAATATGATAAGTTATATAGATGCACTATAAATATGTAGGTGTTAGATAAACAGTTGCATTATTTATGCACAATTTTATAGAGAATTGTAAATATTGATTGTTAAATTGACATACTGTTTTTCTTTTTCCTTTATATTTTTTTTTCATTTTCGTTTAAAGTTGTGGGTTTTTTTTTCTTCTGCTGCACAATGTATATGTTTTTTATTTGTTCTGTCTTTTTGGTCACTGTTTTTAAAGCAATAAAAGAACGAATTAAAATAGAAAGTCTAGAGCACATTTAATTGAAAGCACAGAGCCCATAAACCTTGTAATGGGGGCCCTTCCTATTTATCGGTCAATGGTAAACAAGACTGTCATGGCTGGTCAGCATGGGAGAAAGAAGTTCTCTTGAATACCAGAATAGTAGTGATAACTTAAAGTTCAAGCACTTTGATGTGATAATAAGAATACATCTACTGCTGTCTGTCTTGATGACAAACTTACACGATAAATCCCTGTAAATTTTTTAAAAGTCAGTGTGTGCTTTACTGAATTGTTTTAATGCAGTGGTTCTCAATTCTTTCTTGAGAGTTGATCCTCTTTTAAATTCCTTTTGTAGCCATGGACCATGGCCACAGATCACCCCAAGATTTAACTCAAGATTTAAATCATAACATTTTTTTAATACTTTGCAGGCCCCTTGTGATGACAGGGGTCCACAGACCACAGGTTGAGAACCCCTGTTTTAATACATTGTTTTTTTTCAGCTAGAACAATCGCACCCCCCAAACTGATAATCATTTTCCATGGCAAAATAAAACCCTTTTGAAACTCCTGTGATTTGCACTAACAGATTTTTTTTTTTAAATAATGAACAGGTAAAACTCTGCTAGCCCAGACTTTGGCTAAATGCCTGGATGTCCCTTTTGCAATCTGTGATTGTACCACTTTGACTCAAGCTGGTTACGTCGGAGAGGATATTGAATCTGTCATTGCAAAACTGCTGCAGGACGCAAATTACAACGTCGAAAAGGCTCAACAAGGTAAAATCCTTTCCCGCGCCCTTCCCTTTTAGAAGCGCAGCTGCAGGTTGCTGCTTAGAACTTTGCTTTTTATTGACCCAGAATTTTTTTTTAACAGGTTTTTCTGTTATCTTTGACCACCCCTTTTGATTTCAAGCCTATGTCCCAGGGTGCATTTTCTACCCCATCACTGCCATCCTAGAACAAAATGGGGTTCCCTGTGTGCCAACTGTACTTGTGTAATTCAGAGCTGTAATTCCTCACTTCAACTGCCTCTAATCTGCAGGTATTGTTTTCCTGGATGAAGTGGATAAGATTGGCAGCGTTCCCGGCATTCATCAGTTACGGGATGTGGGAGGAGAAGGGGTTCAGCAGGTAAGTACGAAGAGCTTTGCTTCTCCCAGTGAAGTAATTCCAGTTATTATCAAATTCCGGCCCTGACTTGAGAGAAGAACCAGTTTTCTGTCCCTGGGAGGTGCAAGTCTGAGGCAGAAGTTACTTTCTCAGCTACCTATCAGGTTTTTCCTTCTTAACACCTTCGTGGGAGTGAACCCTAAAAGATGGAAAACTTGCATTGATGATGCTTATGGAAACTCATCACTCCCATTCTTAACAGATTCGTGCACCTTTAGGTAGGAGAAAACCACACCCCTGCCAAAACTGGCAGGGCAAGTTTCTGTACCTAAACGGGGAGCAAATCACACACGCACACTGAAGGTACTACCTAGTTTGGTAATAAAATGTCTGTGCTCAGAGAGCACAAAAGACTCCACAGTTCAGCCCTGTGCCTGTTTAACAGGTTCCTGTAGGCCCCATTTAGTCACTGTCATAAACTACCTGGATTTGTAAGGTGTTCAGTGCATGTTTTTAAGAATGAATGCGTTGCTTAGGCCTCTCCTGCTTCTACCTAGGGGTTGTTAAAATTACTGGAAGGTACCATTGTGAATGTTCCAGAGAAGAATTCCCGCAAGTTACGTGGTGAAACAGTGCAGGTTGATACAACCAACATCCTCTTCGTAGCTTCTGGTGCATTTAATGGTCTGGATCGAATCATCAGCCGGAGGAAAAATGAAAAAGTAAGGAAATTGCACGTTTTAGCTGTATAAAGAATAGAACTCTGCTAAATATCTTCAGTGGTCACCATTAAAAGGGAAAAAAAAATACCATTCAGTTCGGCTCGCATGGAAAAAATAGGGCTGTGTCCGAAGACTTTGGAGTTCCTGTTTGGCTAGATGTCTAGGCAAGCTAAAGGAGGGGCAAGTGGCCGATGGCTTAAAACAGACAATTTGAATTTAATAACAGAGTAATTTTACAATGGCAGCACTTAACGTAACCACTTTTGTGGATAATTAACTGTTCTGTGTTTAATGGTACCTTTGAATGACTACTTTGTGAACATTGTAAAAGGAGAGCCATGTTAATCTATGATACCGAATAATCAGAAAGGTCTGCCGGTGCCTTTTCTAATTAGCAATTTTTATTCAGAAAAAGTTTTCGTGAACTGAACCTCCCTTCACCAGCTCCACGGAGACCAGATTTACTTTCTTTTCTCCCCCCCTCCCTCCTCCTTGCCTTCAGAAATCGTGGGTGCTCCATCACTGCTGTGAATTTTCTGGACAAGCTATATCCAATTTAGACTCCTTTGTTGATTTTGTTGAAAGATCACTCTAAACTTCTCATGAAAAAAGAGAGATGACAACCATTAAGCTTCAGCTGTACAAACCAAATAGGGGAAAACATTGTATATTGCATCTGAATTTCTGCGTATCCAAATTCACTAATTCTATAAAACGTACAAACATCCAGTCTAATTTATAAAGCAATGGGTTTTACGGTTCACTAAAGCATACTGACTTCATGTTCTTTTGGTTGCATTCAAAATCTACCGAAGAGAGAAATCATACAATAGAGGTTTTTGTCTATGTTATCAGTTTTGGGAAAAGACCCAGTTTTGGAAAATGACGATTCCTACCGTGTGCACTTTTGTCTCTGTATAATTTCTTGCCGTGCATTTTCACACGCAAAACAAAAACATTAGCTTGGTTTTGCTATTAAAGGCAGAATGTTTTGCCTTGCAGTATCTCGGCTTTGGCGCCACGTCAAATCTGGGGAAAGGCAGAAGAGCCGCGGCAGCCGCCGACTTGGCTAACCAGGGCAGTGAGTCCAGTTCTGAGCAAGAGATGGAAGAGAAAGACCGCCTGCTTCGGCACGTGGAAGCCCGAGATCTGATCGAATTCGGCATGATCCCTGAATTTGTGGGGCGCTTGCCAGTGGTCGTCCCCCTGCACAGCCTGGATGAAAAAACGCTTGTGCGGATCCTTACGGAGCCCCGGAATGCGGTCATTCCCCAGTACCAGGCCTTATTCAGCATGGACAAGGTTTGACTTCCTTTTCGCCTCTTGGGGTATCTTTTTACGACGGCATGTTATTTCCTACGGATCAAACGTGTTTATGCTCCAAGAGTGGATTGATTTTAAGTGATGTTGAAGGGTGATCCCTTTTTAAAGATGCAAAGATTAAAAAAAAATGTAAACACGATTTAGGTTATGGCTATTTTCTGTGGTTTTTGACTATCCAGGGCCGATGGACATCCCTTTTTTCAGGACAGCCTGTCAGTATCTGTTTTCTTTTGAGTTCTTATGAACTTGTTCTTGTGTCATTACGGGTAGTCCTTGACTTACTACGTATTGTTTAGTGGCCTTTTCAGAGTTAAAACAGCCCTGAAAAGAGGGGCTTGTGACTGTTTTCCACACTTAGGACCGTAGCAGCATCCCCCTGGTCACGTGGTCAAAATTTGAATGCCTGGCAACTGGCATGTACTTGTGACGGTTGCAGTGTCCTTGAGGCATGTGATCCCCTTTTGTAGCTTTCTGGCAAGCAAAGTCAATGGGGAATCTAGATTCACTTAGCAGCCATAGAATACAGTGATTCACTTAACAACAGTGGCAGGAAAAGTCATAAAATGGGGCAAAACCCATTTAGCTACTCTCGCTTAACAACAGAAATTTTGGCCTCAATTGTCATAATTCGAGGACAACCCGTATTGTTTTGCCTTTGTCCATTACACTTCTCTAAACAGAACCATAATTCTCATGGGGGGGGAATCAAGTATTCGAAAATGTAGCATTCTAAAATGTCTATAATCTTATGTCTTACAGTGTGAATTAACTGTCACAGAGGATGCTTTAAAGGCAATAGCCAGGTTGGCTCTGGACCGCAAGACTGGAGCTAGAGGACTTCGGTCTATAATGGTAAGAGTGGGACTTTTTCCCGATTGCTGCAGCCATTAATCCTCCATATAATAATTTTAAGTGTCTGACTGTAGAATGTTTTGCACTCTCTTCCCTGTTCTGTTTGTCTGTGTATAAAATCTCTGGAAGTAATGGGTGAGTCAGGGAAGGGACCACAGTAAAAAAAAACAAAACCCTTCTTGATAGGAGACAATTCCATGGTAATGTGGTTTTTCAGTTTCTTCCCTGTGAACTGAAATACTGTATATCTGCAATATGAAGAGAGTCCATATTTGGCGATTTATCGTTGTTAAAACAGAAATTGTGTACAATGATTTTTTTTAAAAAAAACAAACAAACCTTGAACTGTTCTATTCATCTCCCAACTTTAGGAAAAGTTACTGCTGGAACCAATGTTTGAAGTGCCCAACTCTGACATAGTATGTGTGGAGGTGGACAAAGATGTTGTGGAAGGGAAGAAAGAACCAGGATACATCAGGTAAAGTTGAGTTTCAAAGATTGGGTTGGTTGCTGGCTTATCTTCTCAAGAACCTTTCAGACAGTTTTCTAGGTAAGTGATCATTCTGTAATTAAGTCTGTAGTTGCTAATGGCAATTTAGATGAACTGTGGAGATTATTGTTAAATGTTCAGAATTCAGCTGGGCATTTTGTATCAACGTATAAAGAAAAAAAGGTAGTTTGGTGTGATAGACTTGAATCCTTGCTTCTTGTCTTGCCTTCTGGTGCTTTGGAAAATAGGTTGACCGTCTTTGTGGCAGCCCCTCAAATATTAGAACAGTGGTGGCGAACCTATGGCACGGGTGCCAGAGGCGGCACTCGGAGCCCTCTTTGTGGGCACATGTGCCGTTGCCCCAGCCTTGCCTCCCCCCACGACCCCCTCCTCTCCAGCAGCCCCCCTGAAGGAGACTCGCCCTTCAGCGTGGCCCACATGGAGCAGCGCAGCCAAGGACATGGCAGCCAGGCAGCGGAGACAAGACTCTGCCCTCACACCCCATCATGCAGTTGATGCTGCAGGGCGCGGGCAGAGGGTGTGGCCGCCATAGCGCTGCTGGGTTGCCTGGGCGATCTGCGGCGGGCCCTGGAGGTGGTGAGTGGTCCTGTGGGCAGGCGGGGCGGGGGATGGCGGGGCAGAGCAGGGGTGGGCAGAGGGGTGGAGTGGGGGCGGGGCCAGTTTTGGGGCACTCGGCCTCTAAAAGGTTTGCCATCACTGTATTAGAATATTGCTGTCATGTCGCCCCTGATCCTTCTGCACAAACGTACCTTTATGTCTCGTAGAAGTCCTTCAACATTTGCTGAGGTTTAGTTGCCGGTCAACGATTAATGGGGAAGGAAAGCTTAATTCCAATAGCATCATGAGGAGTATCGGCTCCTTTCTCCTAAACTTCCTCCCCTCTTCAGCAATTGTAGCAATTTATTATTAAACAAAAAGCCTTTGAAGATCACAGCAAATTATATGTACCGTATATACTCGAGTATAAGCCGAGTTTTTCAGCACATTTTTTGTGCTGAAAAATGCCCCCCTCGGCTTATACTCGAGTCGCGTCTCGAGAACTGAGGAAAGTGAGTACCGTAGTTCTTTTTTGGGGGGGGGGAATCTATGCAATCACTAAAAGTCTCGAGTCAATATTTTTTCCCAGTTCTTTGTGGTAAAATTAGGTGCCTCGGCTTATATTCGGGTCGGCTTATACTCGAGTATATACGGTATATCTAATCTATCGAGCACAAAAAGCACTTCGTGTGAGTTTAAACCCCTCTTTTGTTCCAGGCTACATACCTGCAAGTTTGCATTTCGGTATTAATAAGAGCTCAGCTTGCTTTCTTTACGTTTTTCTGATAAGATCTCTGCTTTCATTATTTCAGACATTTGACTTTACTTCTGTTTCAATTATAGGACTCCAACTAAAGATTCCTCAGAGGAAGAATACGACTCGGGAGTAGAAGAAGAAAGTTGGGCCCGCCAAGCAGATGCCGCAAACCATTAAACAGTCAGAAATGTTCTTCAGCAAAAGCACTCAGTGTGTCTGTCTTTGTTTGAGACCATGCGTGGCTCTGCAACCTGTTGCTAACATCCTCCTGACTGTAGGACACCCGGTTGAAAACTTTGGCTTCTCTAGTGGGGGGAAATCAGATCATGAGTTTCTGTAACATCACGCTGGTCTGTTCAGTGGAACACTTGGACTAAAAATGATGTAACGTTGAGAAAGTGAATTGTATATTAAGTTTTGTTCAATTAAAACAACACACAAAAACGTGCTTTTTAAAATGGCTGAAGAGGGATGGTAACGCAAATGCATTTTTTTCCCCTTTTACCCCCATTCCCAAATCGAAGCCTGTTGAGTTCAGGACCTTAACATATACATGAAATATCTTAGGCAGCCTGCAGTCTTTCCTAAAACTAAGATTAAGTGACGTCAGCAATTCCCCTCTGAGGTTAAAGAACACATTCAAAAATTCAAAAACTGTAACTGCTACAAACAAAATACTGATGTCTGGTTTGTCACCATCGTAGAAAAAGATTTGAATGGTCATTGGGCAAAGTCAAAAGTTTCTAAGATCTGTTTAATTTTGCTCAGAAATTAAAATGCATATATAGCTAATATTTTTGCAAGGAAACTGAAAAATTGTGTAGGGAAATTATTTTATATATGAATACACACAACTTGATTATCTTGTTTTGAGGCTCATTCAGCATGGGTTAATAGTTCTCCTGTTTTAAATGCAGTAGGAGCTGGAGTTTCTTGTTACATTTATTTTGGAGACCACCATTAAAAATGGGATATCGAAGCTTAAAAGGCTGTATTTTCACCCCCAAATTTATTGTCAAGCATGCAGATTGCTCTAGAGTAAACAGACTGTACAATGGCCATATTTTAGAGCATTGCAGTCTGTTTTCCTAAAACCATAATGCAATGCATTAAATAATTATGTGTAATACCAAAGGTTTTTAATATTTAAATATATATGTCACTTAGGAAAAAAAATATAAGAACAGGTAAAGGAGGTGCCGACCCTTCATGAGGAGAATAAAGGTTTACAGAAACAGTCCAATACAACATTGAAAATGTTATGCCAACTTTTTAATATTGTACATTAATTGAACCTACTGAAACCATCAAGCATCAGTTTTTTTGGTGCCAGATATTTTTCCCAGACTACCTTATACCATGAAGAGACACCAGAACATAACAAAATTGTATATTTTTCATGTGATCAGTAGGCACTGTTTGCACAAAATTCTTATTTAAATTATAAGCTCAAATGCTGATACAGCATCCTGTTACTTTTAAATTTTGTTTTTCAGCTAACTCAATCCTTTAGTATTTGTAAAAGCACAGAAAAAGGACAGGTAATGTTCTTGATTCATTTCTGAAAATTAAAGTCTCTGCCTACAAATCTGATGTCTTTTCCTCTTATGTCGAGATGTAAATCTGTTACTGAATTATACCTCTGTTTAAGCACATAATTAAACCGGTTATTATTTCAAGTGCTTGGTTTAAACCAGGGGTCTTCAGACTTGGCTCTTTTATGACTTGTGGCTGAGGAATTCTGGGAGTTGGAAGTCCACAAGTCATAAAAGGGCCAAGTTTGAAGACCCCTGGTTTAAACCGATGGGAATCTCCATCATAACCAGTAATGACTGATAGTGGATGAGGGATATCTCAAATAACTTTTGAGATTCCTCAACCTGTTTTGGGGTACCTGTCATCAATGGTGGGAGTGAGTCTGAATTGATTTTCAGTGCTCTGCAGATTCATTTTGCACAGCTCCTCAGTTTTTAGTGTGACAGTGTAAAAGACGAAATACTGTTGGTTCACAGGATTGCCAGCTTCCTAAGTCTATTGCTTTCCGTAGATTTCTGACCACATGTTCCTGGTCCGATGTACAATAACAAAATTATGATACAGAGGCTATTTGTAAAAGATACTACTGTATTTTTTTTAGATTTTCTGTAGGCTTCCAATAGGGGAACATGGCTTTACATTTCAGATAACACGGTGCAGGAATGGCCATCAGTGCTGTAATGCAAGATGCTACTTATCCTACAAATACAGTATTTAGAAGGTTGAAGATACAGCACAGCGGTCTGGCAGATGGTTGCAGTGGTGCTGTACCTAGTTTGGTTTTTTAAAGCAGGACAGTTCTGCTGTCCTGAAAGGCTATGTCACCTGGAACAAGCATTCATGTAAATGGTTCATTATATATACGTATTTGTCACAATAGATCCAGTAATTCCAGCGTTCCCCCTGGCCACGACTGAATTTGCAGCTAGCGATTACCCAAGCTGGCCGTGCCTGTGTCAAAGAAATGCAGCAGAGGTTTTAAAAAGTGAAAACTCTTCCTGCAAGAAAGCTGCTTACCCTGCCCTGCTAATTCTGCAACTTGGGAAGACACGCACAGGGTTCAGCTCTACCAAAAGCTGGACTCCCTTGCTTTAAATCCCTGCCTTGCTGGGGGTGCAAACGGCAGGGAAAGAATTCCTTTCTCTTTACCAATCACCCGTTCCTTTTTTCCCCGATCTTAAATATTCTGCTTGAGGAATCAATGGGAAAAGAACACTTTGGCGATCCAGCTTTTCAAAAAATCACCCAAATTCCAAACTCAGGAGTCTGAACCTGGGCAGGTCACAATTAATCCAAGAGGTTTTATACACTCATCTCGTGACCAAATGCAAGAAAGACTCTGTAACCTGGCGTCCACCTCTTGTGGAAAACGAAAGAACTCTTACGAATTCCAGAGGGGTTAGCAGAGACGTTTATTTGCCCAAGGTCCAGAGCATATTAGAGATAGGCAATTCTGAATGAGGAGGGTGGGATTAGACTTCAGTTTTTATACTCCCCTCCTTAAAGAACAAAGGGCTACACATTGAAATACACACTGTGATACATTAGGAACGTTTCTCACAGGCATAGAATGGAAGGTTTTGCTACATACAAAGTATCCATGTGCAGAGCGCATTTGGTTGCCACATATTACTGACAGAGAACTTTCCCAGTGAATTTTCCCAGTCATTATGCATTACATCATTGTTCTAGCAATTATGCAGACACATCATTAGTGCAATTATGCAGACAAATCATTATTCTAATAATTGTTCAATTTACTATATTACACCAAGGGGGGGTCTTACTTTGCCCTGCTTGCCTTACGACCCCACCCACCCACTCCACCCTACCCCGCATACTCAAAGGTGCTTCTTTCTCAAAAGGCAGCCAGACTTGGTTTTGCCTTGAAGAGGCTTCGCTTCTTCGTCCAAGAAGCTTTCTTCAGTTCTGGCGCAAGGCATCTCCAGCACCGAGAAGCTCCTCCTCCTCCTCCTCCTCCTGCTGACGCTCCTCCCAGACTGCAGGGGGCGCTGCTCTTCTCCCAGCCAGGGAGAGGCCTTGTCCAGAGGAGGCCCCTGCGCGGCCTGCTCAAATTATGGCTCAGCCGCCGCCGCCTCCCTTCGGCTCGCGCTTCGCGGGGCCGCCCCAGCGCGCCGCCTTCCCGCCGCCCGCGCTCCCCCCGCCGGGGCCTTTCCGGGGACCGCCGCCTCAGCCCTTCCCGCGGGGCCTCTACCCGCCGTTCCCAGCCGGGGGCCTCCCGCCTCCCGCAGGCCCGCCTTTCCTGCCGCCGCCGCCGCCGCCGCCGCCTCAGTGGCCACCGGCCCTGCCGGAGCGGCCGCCGTTGCCATGGAGACCGGAGGGCCCGCCGAGGCCNCGGGGCGATGAAGCGGCGCCGGGCGAGGTGGCGGCGGCCGAGGCCGGCCTGGAGGAGCTGCGAGCGCTGGTACGGCCGCTGCGCGATCCCGGCGCCCTGCAGCTGCTGCGGGCCCGGCTGGAGCGGGGCCGGCGGAAGAGGCTGCGGCGGAGGCAGCAGAGGCAGGAGGCTCGCGCCGCCCGGCAGGAGGAGGCGGCCCGCCGCGCCGAGCGGGAGGCCCGCGTCAACCTCTGGAGGGCCCGGCGGGCCCAGGAGGCGGAGGACCGGCACCGGGTGGGTCTGGGTGGGGGGCTGACGGGGGGAAGAAAGGTCACCGGGAGAGGGGAAGCGGATGGCAGAGGCCTTCTCCATGCTCTGCTTCTTTTGGTGCGTGGATGCAGAGAAAATACAGGTAGTCCTCGACTTACAACCGTTCATTTAGTGACTGTTCGAAATTGCAACGGTGCTGAAAGAAGTGACCGATGCCCATTTTTCACACATGCAACCTTTGCAGCATCCCTGTGGTCACGTGATTTACATTCTTTTTTCTTTTTTCAATATAAAATTTTTATTATTTTTTCATCATAAAAAAAAAATCACAAATACTACACAATGCTATATGAGAAACCCCCCACCCCCCCGGACTTCCCAACCTAATCCCAGGATAATATTCAGATATAAGTAAACAAATATTAGTATCTCTAACTCCACAAAGTATATTAATCTACATGAGTAGGTAAAATATATAAAAGAAAGGGAAAAATTTTCTAAAAACCTAAATTATATTCCACCACTCTATGCTTCTTTTGAATATAAACAATCCATCTTGGTTTACATTCTGATGTTGGACAACTGGCTCACGTTTATGACGGTCGCAGTATCCCAGGGAGTCACGGGATCCCCTTCTGACAAGCAAAGTCAGCGGGGAAGCCAGATTCACTTAACAACCTTGTTACTAACTTAATAACTGTAGTGATTTCACTTAACTGTGGTAAGAAAGGTTGTACAATGGGGCAATGCGCATTTAGTAACTCTCGCTTAGCAATGGAAATTTTGGGCTCAGTTGTGGTTGTAAGTCAAGGACTATCTGTATTTACTTATTTTATAAGTTATCTTGTAAGTATCTCTTGTAGGAGACAGAAAATAAACAACTGAAAGGTTTTTTTTATTTCTGTGCTATTGAGTTGTACTTTTGGGTTGAAGGTAGCATGTCTCAGAGAGGTCTCAGTCATCTGTTCATTTCTTTGCTCGTATATTATCTTGAACTTCCTACGGTGTTGCTGAGCAAGAAGGTTTTCGACAAAGACCCCCCTTTTCTTGCATTTTTGCGCCCAACAGGCCCACTTTTACCTACTGTTGCCAAGGTTCTTCTGATTCTCCCTGCTGTGTTTTCTAATTTACATTCTTTTCCTTTAGGAACAAGAACTTAAAGCTGCTGCCGATAGTGTGTTATCAGAAGTGAGAAAAAAGCAAGCGGACACAAAGCGGATGGCCGAAATTCTGCGTGGCTTAGAAAAGCTTAGGAAACTAAGAAAAGAAGCAGCGGGAAGGAAAGGTAAATTCTCTGGATTTTTATGATTGTTCATAATTGTGACTGGGCACGTTGGCTGAGGAATTCTGGGAGTTGAAGTCTACAAGTCATACAAGGGCCAAGTTTGAAGACCCCTGATTTAAATCAAACTCAGAAAGCTAGATGGGAAACAAAGTATGTTATTGAAATAAAATCTATTGCAAATGAGAAAAGACCCCTGAACCGCAGAAATGTCCTCCTTAGAAAGAATTGATTTTTTCCCCCCCCCTTTCATGGTGAGGCCTAGCTTGATGGGAATTTTAACTTGGAAAGATTGAGAACTACTGACCTATGGCAGCTGTGGGATTCTTCTGAAACAAAAAAGAAAATAGCTTGTGTGTGTTTGGTGCAGGTGTTTGTCCGCCACGAAAATAGCTTGTGTGTGTTTGGCGCAGGTGTTTGTCCGCCACCAGCTGCAGATGAAGCCTTTGAAAGTGAAGTTCAGAATTTAAGAGCATCGATTAAAAAACGCACTGAACTCTATGAAGCTGAAGAACGCGCTCTCCGAGTCATGCTGGAAGGCGAACAGGAAGAAGAAAGGAAACGGGAAATGGAGAAGAAGCAGAAGAAGGAAAGGGAAAAGCTCCTGCAGCAGAAGCGTGAAATGGATTCCAAACTGTTTGGGGATCCAGGTAATTTTCAGAATGTTCATGCTTACGCTTTGGGAGAAGGTGATTTATCCTTGAAATTCAGAAATATTCTGTTTCATTTATGTAGCCACATTGGGGTAGGAATAGTTACATTAAAAGTGTTTATTTTTATTTCAGTTGCAAACAGTAAAAAAAAAAATTACTATTTCCCGAAATGTTTATTTATGTAGTTCTTCTATGTCAACACAAGAACTGACTTACTGAATTTAAAATAAAGTTTTAAAGGAGATCTGTTCTTACAGTTAGTGGAGGTTTCTATTTCTCTGACTGTAAAGATATCCTTACTTATTATTTATACTTTTAGAAGAATTTCCACTTGCCCATTTCTTGGAGCCATTCACACAATACTATTTGCAAGCTGAATGTTCCTTGCCAGCTCTCATCCAGATCAGGTAAGAGTCATTTGTTAGTAAATAAAACAAATTGAGTTGTTGGAGTATGTTGTTTTACATAAAAACCTGGGAATTCTCAGCTGTCTTGAATTCAGGCTGCCGTATGAATTCTTCTTTAATCCATTTGTTATAGATGTTAATGTCCAGTTGCAACTGTTAACTCTGCACAACTCAGATTGTATAACTGTCAGTAGTTGTGTAAAGCATGTTTTATTGTCCTATAAAGCTTTGCAACAAAGTTGTCTGTTGGGGATGCTGTAATGAGAAATATTAAATTGTCAGAATGATTTATAGTCCTGTTTAATAAAACCTATTGAGGTTTTAACTACACCCAGAATCTGGAATGAATGGAGGGAAAAGACAATTGTTATGTGACTTCCTTCCCACCCAATTTCCTTGTGTGCTTCCTTTGTTACCATTAAAATTCAGAGAGGTCATTAATTTTTGTGATATATAAGCATTGCTCTAATGAAAGATATAAACCCTGTTTCTAGCATGATTCAGCCTCTTTGGCTATAGTGGAACAGGTATTGGTATCGTCACAGATTATAATCTTGAGATTTTGATTCAGCCCACCACTCACGCTCAGCGGGTCCCCCCAAAACAGTGTTGCATTTATACCATATACTGAACTAAATTATTTACAAACCTAACAGCTGTATTTGCACAACAACTAAATTTGGCTAGTACTTTATGGCTTGTTATACAAATGCCAGCCATTTAATTTATAGTGCAAGTCCATAAAACAAGTTAATTCAGTAACAGGGTAAAAACCTGCTGTGTGAATCTCTTTTAATTAATCTACCTCACAAAATAATTGTGAGGATAAAATTGGAGTGGATCTAACCTATACCATTGCATGCTTTCGAAAGAAAGATGGAACATTAATAGAATGGCTTTTTTAAGGGTCCCTTGATTAGCCACAGTTCATTCAAATCGCCTGTAACCAAGTTCCTACAGTATTTTGCACCAGTTTGTGAACTCTGTATTCAGCTGCAGTTGCCCGCGTACATGCTTCGGGTGAAATAATTTAGACAAGGAATAGATAGAGTGCTCAGTGTGTTGTCTAACTTTTTCCATTAAAGGCACGAATGGGATCAGTACTTGGTGCCTGCAGGTCACCCTGAAGGAGATTTCATCCCACCAGGATGGGTCCTTCCAAGTCCTCCCTCCAGTGACACGTGGGCCACAGCTGTCAGGTGAGAACTTTGAAGCACCGTTGAAGACGAACACATAGCATAATTTGCCAGTTTGGGAAGGCTGAAGTAACAACGTATGATTGATAACTCACATTAGAACGAGTTCTTTGAGAAGACCAGTACTGTCCTTAAAGATGCTGTTAAAAGTATGGCATTGATGCTTATTATAGTGCTTGTAAGTCCTCTCTAGCATCTGGTTATACTTTAGTATCACAGGATTTTGATCACGAAAGAAGTATCAATGAATCCCTGCTGTGCATGTATTGGAATTTGGGATAGGTCTATACTTTAAAATGATTTTCCTCAGAAATTTATCCGAGCTTACCTTAAATGGGATGTAAGTGCTATCAAATCAGTAGTGTAATCCCGGAGATAGAGAAATAAATTTGCCATGGATCTGCAGGGCGACATTGGCAAATAGAGGCCAGATATAAAGCTCAGCTTATCTATGGAGCTTATATAGTTCAGAAACCACGAAATTAATGCATCAGCTAAATATTATTGTATGTGTTCTTAATGTAAAGTAAACTGTGGGAACTCAGAATTCACTGCCCCGGGCAACATCAAAGGTGATTCCTTTGGAACAGTATCCAGATGTTCAAATATCCAGCTATCTTCCCAAACACCTCTGTGGTTATCTTGGCCTTACAAGGCAGGAATTAAATGAATTGACAGATGGGGCCTATAGTGGTTTCCTTTGAAGTTTTGAGTTCTTGGCTTTCAAAAATGACGGCGCTCAATTGGAGTTGTATGGCGTGAATTAACAGTAGCTTTTCCATGTTGCCACAAAAAGTGCCTTTCATTTATACACACATACGTTACACATACTTAGGGAAGCATTTGTTTTGTTTTGTTTTGTTTTTAAAGTAGGATAATTAGAATAGGAATATAAGCTAAAGGGTTTTTGCCTCTTTATATTTTTGTTACAACATCAAAGCACAGTTTGGCGTTCAGGAAGGGAATCTTGAATTTCTGTGTAATCCTGCTCTCCTTTCTGTGTTTTAATAAACGACCCCTTGCCAGCCTAGTTTGCAACCCTAGTCGAAGGGCACATTTTCAGTTTAAATAAATGGCAAACTGTAGTTTGTACAGAAGCATAAACCATTCCTTGAAGTGAAAGAATATAAAGAAGAAGCGGACGGATTTTGTTGCCTGCGAATTACTAGCTGTTCAGGAAATCTATACGTGCTTATATAGATTTTCTGTATAAAGTTGTTGAAAACAATACACATTCTGCATATATTCTGCGATTCATAAATTGCAAAAAAACTAGAAATTACTGTTGTTGAACAAAATTAATGTGTTCATACCAAACATTTCTCCACTGCTCAGCAAATGTCGGATATATTATACCTGCTTGCTCTTTCAGATCTGTTTACTTCTGAAACACAAAGTCCTAAGCATTTAATACCAGTTGCTTTAGTTCAGCATTATTTATACTGGAAATATAACGTTCTCCAATCTCATACTTTTTCCTGTATTTCTTTAAGAAAAGCTATACTATTATTATTTTAGTTTAACACAAACCCTGTTGATCATTTTCTCTCGGACCTAAGAAAAATTGAAACCTGAGGCATGGCTGTTAATGGCATAAAAGAGCATGCTGTACCCAAATTGCTAGTACAAACCATAGCTTTTGTCTGGTACATATATGCAATAGCTAGGCTTGTTCAACTTTTGTTGCAAGATAATTGTCAAATAATCTGCAAAGCATGGTTTATTGTCTTGTAAAGCTTTGCGACAAAGTATTGGGGATGCTGTAATGAAAAACCATAAATTGTCAGAGTGACTTATAGTCCTGTTTAATAAAAGTATGTTGCCTTTTGTTTGTACTTAATAAATTATTAGCATTTCACGCTTGTATCTGGCTTTTTTCTTCTTCTTCCTTTGTGGCACGTGGGCATGCACAGAACTTTCTTAAGCAAAAGGCCACCAGATGCAGCAGTTGGCTGCTGTTGGAAACAGAATTGTTGTGAATTTTTCTTCATAATATTACTGAAAATACAGACCCCAAAAGCATTTTCTCGGTTCCAGAGGGTTTCAGTTGAGACAGTCCTGGTTGTATGTTTTCACTGGGCACAGCGACCTATATATGGATTCTAGGGCAGATTAGGCTGCTTACCCCATTGGAAAACCTGACGACAGGCGCTTACTCAAGCAGCTCTAATCACTAGACTTGGCCAGGCCTCCCTCTTCAACTGTGGAGGTCACAGCCAGCAAGACGCCTCTCTGTCTTCAACTGACAAATGCCTTCCTAATTCCTTGCTAAGGTGAGTTTTCCTTTACCTAAGAAATAAACATGTGTAACATGGAAAGTTGAGCGTTAAGCTGAAGAAATAGATTGGGGTTCATAGGTGGGTTCTCTTGTGTACAGACAGAGATGATAACATTTCTTTAAAGAATATTTTTTTTAGCTCAGGGATTCCAATACTTACAAAATAATTTAATGTACTTCTTTATTATCAGTAGTTCCCCAATGATATACTGAGCACTAAGTACACACTTAGTAATTCCTTTCGCCACTTAATAGATTTCTGTGTCATTTTTTCTCCTTTTGCTTGTATATTCCTTATTTGTTTTTATATATACTGCATATATATATATATTAGTGCCACTTAAAACTGGCATTTTAAACTGCAATCAGAGATAAATAATGCATGCCTAATATTCCAGTTGCTATCAATTCTGGGATCATATACTTTCTAGACCATTCTGGTATGTTCATGAAATCGAATATCTTTTGCCATTTAGGAATTGCTAAAGTAGATTTTCATCTTATATTTTTCATCTTAATTCAAAGTGGCAGAATAAAAGGATTCTATTGCCTCTGTAGTTTTAATTGGCACTTTTAAATCTATCCATGTTCAGCTGTCAATCTCAAAATTACTTTGGGGCAGCTTTTTCTTAACTTGATGCCTTTCACATCACTCTTCTTAGGTGTTATGGGAACTGTTGTGCTGAGTTTGGAGGAAATAAGACTGATTAATTCTGTTCCGTGTTGCTTTACAGATAGGATATGAAAATACTACTTGTTAAATGTTTTACAAATATTGTAAAGCAATTAACAATATTTAATAGATACCCGGAAACAGATTTCTGGAAATTGACAATTTTGTTTCATTGCCTTGAATCTTCTATAACTTCCATCTGAAGTCATTAATTATCTTAACTGATTTTAATGTCTAACGGTTCCTTAAGATGACAGTTGATTAACTCAAGATTGATTTTGTATATGATGTGCGTCTGAGTTAGGTTAATATATGGAATTCTTTGGACTTAAGGAGAACAAGTTCTCGTGTTTTAGTTTCTTCTTATGTTGCAGAAGTAACTGCAGATTGTGGCACGTTAGCCTCTCTGCTCTTAAATAACTGGAAATTGTATGCCATGCCAGGAGCCTAGAATTTGGGAATGTCTAATCCTGGCTTGTTGACAAACAACAGATAAGTTGCAGATGGGAAGGAGCTGTACACAACTTTTCCTTTTGCAACATCTGTTTTTATATACCAAATTGAGTATGTAGAAACATGATCTGCAATGCAGACCTAGTTGCAATTTCAGTCTTTATTTGTCATTTCAATCCCATATTTATGGTGGGAAACAGACCCCAGTACCATAGGTGAAATACATATTTTTAATTTCACTTCTAAATTGAAATTTACAGTTAAACTCCTGACCAAAGCAAATAGATTGATGGAGGCTGTCATCCCTTAGCTGACTCGTAAGACGGGGCAAAATAAGAACGTGATTCATCACTTCCTGCTTAAGTTTATTCAGTCCCTCACCTTCACATGACACTTGGCTTAATAAGTCTTTTGTGTTAGAGCAACAGATGGCTTATGTGCTGAGAATGCATGCAACAGTGCCACATGTGGAGTGAATTAACAAAAGTATACGTGTAGCACGCTAAAGCTGGCTGTGGTCCCTCTAGCTTCCATGTTAGCACGAAGTGATTCAATCTCCGCATTAAACATCTGGCAGTAAGTCTCTATGGAGACTCTCAGTCATCCAGGTCATGGTTGTCCCAAAGATGCTTTTTCAGACTTCCTTGTTTTTCTTTGAAGACGTTTCGCTTCTCATCCAAGAAGCTTCTTCAGCTCTGACTGGATGGTGGGGAATGGAAGGATTTATACTCCTTGCAGACAGCTGGTCGTTTGCCTTCTTTGCAACCATTTGCACTTCAGTTGGAGATGTAGACGACACAGACTCATCCCCATCCCCAACTGCCTGCGCCTGTCTTCGACAGTGAAGAGACACAGGGCAGCTAAGCAGGCTTCGCACACGTTTGCAATATTCAGGTGACCCCGAGGACACAGGTAAACCTCCAAATGGCCTCAACGACTCTCTAAGAAGACGCAAATGACCAGCGGTCTGCAAGGGACATAAATCCTTCCATTCCCCCACCATCCAGTCAGAGCTGAAGAAGCTTCTTGGATGAGAAGCGAAACGTCTTCCAAGAAAAATAAAGTCCAGTTGCCTCCTGAAAAAAAGCCCCTTTGGGACTGGCAGTAAGTCCTTCAATATAACCAGGATCAATTAAATGGGTCTTGAAGTGCTAAGTACGCCTTTTGATTTCTTTTTATTAGACTAACATAGTTCAGGGACGTAATGAGCTGCTTGGAAGATGTACCTTTCAGAGTGACCGTAAGCTTTGTGGATGATCTTGTGGGAGACGCCAGCTTTGCTGACCAGCCCGAGATTGAGCTGCCCGCATGTGCAGAGGTCTTATCATGCACAATGGTAAACAGATTGACTGCTGTAATTCCTTTCAATTACTATCCTGAAAACAATGACAAAGAGCATAGAATAAACACTATGTTTACTGGAAAAGAAGATAATCAAAGTATAATAAGGGAAAAAAATGTGTAAGCACATTTGTCATACCAAGCTTCCTTTTCTTGTAAGTTTGGTTGACAACTCTGGCTGACGCCAATCCTTTTCCCCGATAAATATGTGCATGTGTGATATATGTTAATCAGAATCCGTGTTTCCCCATGGATCAAAACAATTCATTTCACAAAAGCGTTAACTGAATTAATAAGTCTTTCTCTTTGCAAGAGAAAATATAGCAAGAGCACTTAGCACTTGTACTTATATGCCGCTTCATAGTCCTTTACAGCCCTCTTGAAGCATCTGGTCCCCAACAATCTGGGGTCCTCATTTTACCAACCTCGGAAGGATGGAAGGATGAGTCAACCTTGAACCGGTCAGGACCGAACTGCCGGCAGTCGGCAGAATTAGCCTGCAATACTGCATTCTCACCACGGCTCCTATAGAGAGAAAATCTTCAGTAACTTAGAACAGGGGTCTTTAAACTTGGCCCTTTTATGATTTGTGGACTTCAACTCCCAGAATTCCTCAGCCAGCGTGCCTGGCTGAGGAATTCTGGCAGTTGAAGTCCAGAAGTCATAAAAGGGCCAGGTTTGAAGACCCCTGACTTAGAACCTTGGAACATTTCAATACGTTGCTTTTTCCTATGGTGTTGTGTATTCACAGCATTCCCACCAGTAGAGGGCACCATTGCATTTTTGGAACAAGACTTCTTCAGAAATCATCTTAACATCCTTTTTGCTATTAAACTGTAATGTAAATTTTCAGAAAACCCCCCCCCTTTTTTAAAAAAAATCAAAGTCATATTTTCAAGGTGACCCCCGATGGGTTTGATGGACATAGATAGTTTAGGATTTGCCTCAAGGAAAGAGAAGCTCCAGATGTTGTGACATTGGATCTGGAATGACGTCATATATTCCGTCTCATTTTCTTTGCGTGTTTAGCTTGGCTGGGAAGGTGCTAACATTTAATCTTCTTGCCTTTCCACAGCATGATTTTTCACTGGAGAAAAAGGTCCTCTACTGGATCGACTCTGCCTCACGGCAGGAGATCCCCTGGTTTAATGTCACTGCGAATATGTATCCCACAGCCCCTCCGTGCTGGCTCCTGTTGGTGGACCCTAAAGAAAACGTGGCTGGCAGCCACAAGGCAACAGGTTGCAAATCCAAGGAAATGACACGTGTCCAAAGCTGTATGAATCTGGACACCGAGTTTGAGATGCTCCACCGCGCTGGGAGCGGAGGGAAGGTGACTGAAAGGGGGAATTTAGATCAGGGTCCTGAGGGCCAGGAATGTTCAGAAGGCACGGAGTCTTCCTCAGCCACTTCTGAAGAACACGACAGTAGAGAACATTTAGCGTCAATGCCCGGTGTTCTACCTCAGCTTTTCGATCTTCCCCAAAGCAGACCGAAGACATCACCAGGGCATCTAAGTGCTGCCTCAGACAGCAGTTGCCCAAGGCCACTTTGGGGCAAACAGAGGCAATCCACCTATTTTTTAAGCAACGTGAAGCATGAGTTGGAAGGCGCCAAGAAGAAGCTGATGGCCGTCATGCATCCCTTAAACCAAACTGCCGCAGACTCCGCCTTGGTTCCGAAGGCTTTCTCTCTCCACCAGCACTCCAGAAGCAGCAGGAGCTTCAGATTCGGACCCGGTTCCCCTCCTCGCTTAGCACAGACTTTAAACCCCACCCCACCAGCCACTTCCGGTTGTAAGCCGAGTCGGCTTCATTCAGCAGGGCTTATCCGTCCCATCCAACACCATAAACCTACCGTGGCCGTAAGTATCTTTCCCGTCTTTTGTTTCCCGCTCCTTCCTGAGTCCTGGTGTTAGTAGACTTACAGCAGTGGTTCTCAACCTTTTTAATGCCGCGACCCCAACCGGTCGTAAGTCGAGGACTAAATCGGTCGTAAGTCGAGGACTAAACCTGTTGTAAGTCAAGGACTAAACCGGTCGTAAGTCGAGGACTACCCAACCGGTCGTAAGTCGAGGACTTTCCCTGCCTGGGAGCGCCGCGCATGCGTGGTTCCGCCCCTTGCGCCGGCCGAGGCGTAGCTGGCAAGCGGCAGAGACGGAGTAGGCCGACCACCAGCTGGCCCAGCCCAAGGGAGGTAAGGCACCCGCCGGAAAAGGGGGAAAAAATGGCGGACAGCCTTGCTTGGCGACCCCCGTGAAATGGTCGATCGACCCCAAATGGGGTCCCGACCCACAGGTTGAGAACCACTGACTTACAGGATCTGGGAGCTGAGCATTTGTCCATCTCCACCTTCCCCTCACTTTATGCTTTTCATAAACCATGCATTTAAAATGGCCTGATTTGCAAAGAGGCTCGCGGGCCCAGCTACGTACAAGTAGCCCTTGACTTACAACCATTTCTTTAAGTGACCGCTCAAAGTTACAACGGCATTGAAAAAAGTGACTTACGATTGTTTTTCACACTGGCGACCATTGCAGCATCCCCAGGGTCACGTGATCCAAATTCAGACACTGAGCAACTGACTCATACTTACGACGGTCGCAGGGTCCCAGATCATGGGATCCCCTTTTGCAACCTTCCGATAAGCAAAACCAATGGGGAAGCCAGATTCAAGTAATAACTGTGGCAGGAAAGGTCGTAAAATGGGGCCAAAATGTACTTGACAACCATCTCACGTAGCAGCAGAAATTTCGGGCACAATTGTAGTCGTAAGCTGAGGACGTAGCTGTATTCCAGCCTCCGGCGCAATTCAGATGCAGCAGTTTTAGCAGGAAGTCCGGCTACAGCAAGGGTAGGCAACCTTGGCTCTTTTATGACTCGTGGACTTCAACTCCCAGAATTCCTGAGCCAGCTGTGCTAGCTTAGGAATTCTGGGAGTTGAAGTCCACGAGTCATAAAAGAGCCAAGGTTGCCTACCCCTGGGCTACACAAAACAAGCAATGCCGCACACGTTATTGCAGTCGTTAATCAATTAAAAAGAAAAGACATTCTGAGATGGCAATGTAAGAATCTTAATAAAACTTAATCAGAAAACCAATCTGGGCAAATGCAACATGTTTTACAAACAGCGAAGGAAAAGGTAACCACATTCAGAGAAATAAAAAATCACATTGATGGTCAGTGGCCGCTGAATGAAATTACTCCAGGGGGCCTGCAAATCTGGCTAAGGGGGAGTTATTAGCAGCAATCAGTCCTTATAATAAGGACAACATAGCAAAACATGGCTTAACATTTTAGCAATCCCTCCACCACAGGTGCTTGGTCTTTATTCCAGCATACCTTGTGATTTCTGTGAAGAACAGCATAAAATAAACAAATCTGTACAAATTGGCAAGAATGAAGCCTAGTTGCAAATATGGACATCAATTGTTTTGATTTCTCAAGCCTGCTGAATAGTAGCCAGATGCATTAATGTTACAAAATGCTTTTAAAAAGACAGTGTAAGAGAAATGTATAGGCCATTCTGGAGTGCATGCCGTTGTCAAACAGTGTCGATAAACACGTGTGCGTGAACGAGCCAGCTCATAATTCAGATACTAAGTTGAGATTGCGGCTAAATCACAGCCCGATCCAGCATCGCTCCTATTATGCAAATGCATGGTTAACTGGAATCAAAATGTCTGTTTGTACTGAAAGGGGATCTGCTTAAAGCTGAAAGAAGCAATGTGAAAACTCGTGATTCCCAGGCTTGAAAGAATCATTGTTTAAACCTCTCAGCTGCCCAAGGGAGATACCAAACAGGGCCAGGGCACGTTAATGGACCGCAGCCCAGGGGTTGGGGATCCCTGTCCTATACCATATTCCAGACAAATGGCTGTCCAATCTCTTCTTGGAAACCTCAAGTGATAAAGCACCCACAACGTCCACTGATTAATTGTGGTCACCATCAGGAAATTTCTCCTTAATTCTAGATTGGATCTCTAATGATCTTCCACCCGTTACTTCTTGTCCTGCCTTCAGATGTCCTCAGAGAATAAGTCCCCCCCTCTTCCCTCTGACAGTCCCTCAAGTACTGGAAAGAGTACTATCATATCACCCCTAGTCCTTCTCTTCATTAAATTGGACATACCTAGTTTCCTATTATCTTCTCATATTATTATGACATTTAACATCCCCAAGGAAAGCAGTTTAATTCTCTGTAGGCTAGTTAGAGGAAGGCAAGAGTTAAACTAGGGTGGCTTAAGGTAATATAAACATCACTTGCATGGTGCCATAAACTATATGATGAAACCCTTTTGGACTCTTATCAATTTAGCACGAAGAATGAGTGGAATGGAATATTTTAATTCTACGTAAGTCCCATCTTTCGGAATTTTTTGTTTTCGTGTGGTTTTGTTTGATGAGTATCTGGCTGCATTGCTTATTGTTAATATGAACAAGGAGCTGTTAAGATTTACAGAAGAGCCCTACATATTTTGGGATGTGACTGCCAAGCTTCAATGAACACAAACAAATTAACGTTTCAGTCTAATTAATAATAATAATAATAATAATAATAATAATAATAATAATAATAATAATAATAATAATAATAATAATAATAATAATAATAATAATAATAATAAAAAAAGTTGGAAGGGACCTTGAAGGTCATCTAGTCCAACCCCCTGCTCAGGCAGGAAACCCTATACCATTTCAGACAAATGGCTGTCCAGTCTCTTCTTAAAAACTTCCACTGTTGGAGCATTCACTGCTTCTGGAGGTAGGTTGTTCCACTGGTTAATTGTTCTCACTGTCAGGAAGTTTCTCCTTAGTTCTAGGTTGCTTCTCTCCTTGATCAGTTTCCATCCATCGCTTCTTGTCCTGACTTCAGGCGCTTTGGAGAATAGCTTGACTCCCTCTTCTTTGGGGCAGCCCCTGAGATATTGGAACATGGCTATCCTGTCCCCCCTCGTCCTTCTCTTCATTAAACTAGACAGAACCAATTCCAGCAGCCGTTCCTTATATGTTTTAGCCTCATACTGTATGCTTTATATCATACTTTATGCTTCATACTTCTATGCTTTAGCCTCATACTGTATATGAGGTGTATTTGAGAGAGAGGGAGGGAGGGAATCTAAACACGTGTAGAGTTTGCATTTTAAGATTTGATTTGTGTGAAAGTCCCTGGCTTGCTTTCTTGAAAGAACGCAGTTTTGCAAATGTCGCTCTCTGTAAAATTCTTCCTCTGTTTCTCCCTAGGGCATATTAGAAATTGGAAAGATGTTATCAAGATAATCCATTTGTCTATGTGTGTTTCCACCACCCAGAAACAGATCACATAGACAGAAAGGGGAAAAAGCTTAGAAATTTATCTCATCAACAAAACTAATCTTAGATGTTGGTTGAATTGCTTATTCCTCTTTCTTGCCCCTTTTCACATAAAACCCAAAGTGCTCTTAACTCAAATGCACATATCAGCAATCCATTGCTGCAAGCCAGGTATATATTTGTCTTTCCAATGTTGTATAATAATTATTTTGGCTGTCTCCAATGCAGCAAAGAGCCAAAGTTCTTGATGTCTTGATAGATTCCAAATGCTGGGGATGTAGCCCAGCAAAACATCACCATTTTTTTAACTAACCAAGATTGATCTAAATTCTTGTTAGCAATCCTGTGGATTTCTGCCCAAAATGTAACAACAGTCAGACATATCCAACTGTACAAGTTAATGTGCCAATGTCTCGATTGCAATTCCAGCAACAACTCTTAAGCGTTTTTAGAGGTATCCATAGCAAATGAAATAGAAATGTGTATTATATTCCCCCCCATGTTTCATAACCCTGGCTGTATAAATTCAGCCATGATGGAGACTAAATGTGTACTTTGGGTTCCAGCCAAGTCAATTTGGTAGGTTTAGGTGCATGTGAGAAGTGTCCCTAAAAAGAGCTTGGATGGGGTGAAATTAGATTAATGGGTAGAATCGATTAATGAATAATTAGTGGGTGGAAGCTTGTTAAAGGGAGAGCCAACCTAGAAGGAAGGAGAAATTATCTGGCAGTGAGAACAATTACAGGGGGTTCTCAACTTACAACAGTTCATTTAGTGACCAATTTTCACAGTTATGATCTCTGAAGAACCCCCCAAGATCACATGATCAAAATTCAGGTGCTTGGCAACTGGCTCACACTTACAACCATTGGTGTACCCCAAGGTCACGTGATCCCCTTTTGACAAGCAAAGTCAATGGGGAAATCAGATTCACTTAACAAGCAGGTTACTACTACCTTACCAACTGCAGTGGTTCACTTAACAACTGTGGCAAGAAAGGTCGTAAAACAGGGAAAAACTCGCTTAACACATGTATCAGTCAACAACATAAATTTTGAATTCAGTTATGGTTGTAAGTCAAGAACTACCCGTAACCCACAAAATAGCTTGCGTCCAGAGGTTCTGGGTGCTCCCATCACTGGAGGTTTTCAAAAATAGACTGGACAACCGTTGGGCGGGATGGTTTAAGGCTCTTTATCGAGCAGGGGGCTGGACTACAAGACCTCTAAGTTCCCTTCCATCCCTATCACTCTATGTTCTGTGTAGATGTCCACCAGATAGTCCACACACAGACCAAGAGCAGATGCATCAACTGCTGGGAACAGTATACCATGACTATCCTAGCCAGAGATTGCCTAAGAAGGTTTGAATGATGATGAGAGAAAAACAGACATGGAAGGACTTGACCACCAGCTGAAAGGGAAAAGTTTCCCAACACCACATCAAGCATATCTTTAAATGATATATAAAGATGTCATTGTTAAGTTCAAAGTGTCCACGTTTTATTTCCCAGGACCCAGCTTTCTTGTCTTCATTATTGTTTTACCAGCCTTTGTCATCTCCTTGGAAACATAATAATTTTTATTCCAAATCAGGATGGTTCTGAATCAGCTTCAGAAAAACAGAAATGAAAACAGGATGTTCAGTGGGGGTGGGGGTGGGGGAAGAGTGTTCTAACGATGGGAATTTTCCTGGCTCGCTTTATGCCTGGCCTAATTTAATTTTAACATGACAAAGACTTGAAGCGCGCTGCCTTGGCATACCCACAGTGCTTGCACATATTCCAGAGGAGAACAAAATCCTTCTGAAAAGCCTCACGAAAGAGCAGATGGCTCATGAAGATTTCTCTAAGTTAACTGACATTAAATGGCTCTGTTTTATTTTATTTTTTTCAGGCTCTCAGCCCGTATTCCTGCCTCCCACCCGGTCCAGGGACCCAGCAACCTCTTAGTCCCCACAGATCTCGTCCTGACTCCACCGCCGATCTGCTCTCGGTGCTGAGCCAAGAGGAACGCGAATTGGTTGAACCGGTTGTAGCCTTGGGCTATCCGATCCGCCGAGCGATCCTCGCCCTGCAGAAGACGGGGAGACGAAACTTAGGCCAGGTCAGACAGAGCTAGGACCGGTTCTCTTCCCAAACAGGGGACATGTGTCCTCTCCAGGTGGTGCAACATTATTTCCAGAAGGCTATCGTGGAGGCACCTGATTGTCGAAAGTGGAAGGAATGAAGCTCTGCAGAGGCTTTGGGGGTTTAGTTTCCCTTCTCCAAATAAGACGGGGCAAAATTCCCCCCTCAACACTGGGGAAAGTGCTTCCAAAGTGTCCCAAGTCTAGGAGAAGACTTTCCTTGGAAAGAATGACTACATTAAGTGCTGGTAGGGTGGGAGCATCCCTTTCATGTCTCTCTCTCTCTCTGATACTCCCTTCCTTGCCCACCCAGATTCTGGAGAGGCAGATCCTTCTCTTTCTTTTGCTGGTGTTTTGTTACAGATATTTGAAATTGGGCTGAATGTCATGGTTCTGTCAGATGAAACTCTTCAAAGAACTTTGAGGCATTGTTTACCTTAAAGAATCTTTATTTGAGAAGCATAGCATCGGCAGAAGCCAAAAACTGGATTCCCCTCCCCTGAGCACATAGTATCGAAGCACAATTCCCTCCTCCAATTAACAGTCATAAATCACATTCTCTGATTAGTTTGAATTGTAGGCTCTCCCTCCAGTTCTCCAGCCTGCCAATTCTGATCATCTCTTATTTCATTAACCTTGGTTCACACATTTAAGTCCAGTATTATTGTGTCTTATCTAAACTCTCATGCACAATCCTCCCCCCCCCAGCATCATCTAACTCTAAAAGTAAAGCATAAGAACAAAATGGTTGCATCTCCAACTGTTGTCAAAGCAAAAACATCCGATGTTAGCAGCGTTGACACTGAGGTTTGCATATGGCTTCAGGGCAGAGTGAAGAATGTTTTTTTCTATGGTGCCATAATTTGGGGAGAGGGCTCTGAGGTCCCATGGGGGCATGGCCTCTGAAGTGATAACCCTGGAGACACGGGGGACAACGTTGCTGGCTCTTTCTTGAAAGATTTGATGGCGCAGTTCTTAGCCACGGAAACTTATTTGGGGTAGTCCGTTTTCTTCAGCCTTGGGATAAGATACAATCTGAGCTGCTTCAAAATAACAACAACAACAACAGCAACACTCCAAGCATATTAGAGATGTAACGCAACCAGGGGTGGGGAGGGTAGTCAACAAAGATGGCAACTTTGATCACACAAGGGAGCAGCTTTTATTTACAAAAATACTTACTTACAAAACAAATACCTGCATATAAACCTGCATTCGAAGTCAGCTTCCCCAAATCATGCCTTTACCAGGATCATTGCTGTGATTGCATGATTTACATTTATGCTTATTATTTATATTAACGACTTCTAGAAGTGCAGAAATTTTACCCGGTTTCATTTTTCATTCGGCTGCCATGCCACAAAAGGAAAATGGTCCAAGGTCAGAAGATTTTGACCCTATCACCATTTGCGTGCCCCTCGGAAGAGACACCCATCCCTCTTTATCAAAAAGAAATATGAAAACAATATTGCAATTAAATGGATGAAAACTAAGCTAACTGTACAACTGTACACTTTGGCTGTATTTAAATTTCTCCTTAGCCTTCAAATAATTATTCCTCTCTTAATATCAACATCGTTTTATTTTCCATAGTTCATATTTGGAGGCTATTTATTTTTATTAGCTTCCATTTGAACTCCAGGTTTATCTCCCTCTGACAGCCACTGAGTTTAAGGCTGATTTTTAATCCCCAGTTGGTAAAAGGAGACACTTGCGCGCTTGCTCACAACTTTTTCACCAATTTTGGGAGCGAGTCAGGGGCCCTATGGCTGGGTCCCTTCACTAGCTGTACCCGTTTCAGACCTGGAAGAACGTACTGTTTCCACGAAAATGGGTTTTTAAAAATAGGATGGAGAACTTTGGCTCACCAATCACAGATTCCCAAGGGACCAATGGATGCCGTGGTATTTAAAGGAGAATGCTTTGGAGAATTATGCAGTCAGTTCTCCAAGAGTAAAGTCAAAAATAATTCTACTCTTGTCTTTTCCATGACAGAGTCCCTTTCTCAGACTTTTGTCTGGCCCCCATCTCCTCTCCCAAGGTGCTGTTAGGCTTTCCTGGATCTGGAGAGTCATCTGATCAACCAAGCAGCCTTAGTATTTTTCTGAGATCTTTGCGCTGAGAAGCTGAACGAAATCTATAAAGAGTTTGTGTGTGCCTTACAGGAAGCAGCGATTAGATTTATATCAGTGAATGTGCCGGTCTTCAGATTCCTCACACATCAGCAGACATATTTTAGACCTTAGTCCATGTGGGTGGACCTTGCCAAACATGGCTTATTCAACAACTGAAGATTAATTTGACAGATGAGTACAGCCTGTAATGTATGAATAGCCAAACTCTTTCAGGTATTGTGGTATTACTGCCCCACTTTAAAAGCTTCTGCAAGCTTCTTCCTAGTGTTGCTTCAGTCTTTTCTCCCACCTGTTAAAAATTTTACATGAAAGTCAAATGTTTACGTGACCCCGGTGGTGAAATTCTGGAGCTTTTCTTCAGAAATTCAAGGCTTAGGAATTGTTTCTCCATTGCCAGCCACGAATTGTGTAATCCTGAGTCTCCTGGTTCTGATACTCTGCGTTCAAGATATATAATATTTCAAAGACATAATGCACTTCATATATTTTTTTTCTGCCAAAACAAGATGAAAGGGACTGATAACACCTTGAAGTCTAAAAAGAAATGTATTAGTTGACAGTTGCAATCATATGCGTGAAGTTTTTGTTCTAAGTCTTGTTTCAAGTTATTCTCTTACTCCTGGGAAGAAGCTCAGGGTAACTCACTTCCAAAATTATTGCCAAGGAATTGACCATAGTTAAGTTGCAGTTCAGAAGATAAGGGTCAACAGAAAACCTACCCCCTGACCTACGTAGAGTTGCGGACCTGCTCATCTATTCCATGCGGCCGGCCTGGCGTAGTTGGATTATGTTTTAGTGGGGGTTTTGTATGGGGTATTTTTAGAGCAGGCCTGTTATTTAATTTGATTTTAGACAGAAATTTGTGTATATTTATCGTGGTTTTTATTATCGCCTGTTCACCGCCCTGAGTCCCGTAAGGGAGATAGGGCGGTATATAAATTCAATTAATAATAATAATAATAATAATAATAATAATAACAACAACAACAAGAGGGCTTGGAGTTAGACCATTTCTAGGAACGTAACAACTCTGGGCTGTTGACTCATTTAACTTCATTCCCCACCACCCCCAGCTCTGTCTGCTATTCTATAGGAAAGCTGCCATTATTAATTTGCTTGCATGGGTCAGTTTGCCCTTTGCAAGGGATGATCCCAGGGTTCTAGATCAGCAGGCCCCCAATCTTTTGGCCACTGGGGACCAGTTCCGTGGAGAGAGGTTTTTCCACGGACTGGAGGGGACGTGGTTTCGTGTGCCGTCTGCATGTCGTGGATGGAGCTTCACTTCTTTGCACGGCCCGGTTGCTTTCATGCCCATGGACCACTGCCAGTCCACAGACGGGGGTTGGGGACCCCTGTTCCAGATCATATTACTGATTCTACAAAGTATGGGAGGGGTTGTGTTGGGTTGTGTTCCTGGTTTAGGAAGTGGATGGATGCCTTTTAGCTGAAATCGTGCTCGGTTAATTAACAGCCCTTCAATTTCTTCTGCTTTCCCATAACAGTTTCTCAGTTATCTGAGTGCCTGTGACAGACTTCTGAAACAGGGTTATGAAGAGGCCCAGGTTATAGAGGCAATGGAAATGTTCCAGAACTCAGAGAAAAAGGTGAGAGCCCAACTTTTGTTGAAAAGTTGATCAAATTCCTTTGCTTACAATGGGGTATTAGTCAAATGAATGATAAAAATGGGTGTCTCCACCTGCGTGGAGTTTTTTTTCTATGTGTGTGAATGTCATTAGCAGTTGATAGAGAGCGTAAAAACTAACACAAACTAATATGGAGGGGAAAAGGAAGGAAGAAAGGAAGGAAGGAAAAGAAAGAAAGAAAAAGAAAAGAAAGAAAAGAAAGAAAGAAAAAGAGAAAGAAAAGAAAGAAAAAGAAATAGAGAAAGAAAGGAAAAAGAAAGGAAAAGAAAGAAAGAAAAAGAGGGAGGGAGGGAGGATCTGCATAGTTTTTAATTCTGTTCTGACAATGATAAATCCAAAATGACTCACAATAAGAGTGATGACAAAACAAAGCAAGGAAAGAAAAACAGAACACAACCAAGTTTGAACATGCAAGAAAATCAGCCTGACTAGAGTTGGGAAGAATTTTAAATCAAATTTTTAGAAGAAATGGCCTTTGCCTTAAGGTTAGAAGGCAATGAAACAGTTTTTCTAGCTCATTGGCAAAAGAGAGAGGGAAAACACGGCACAACGTGCTAAAAGCCAGTTGCCAGCATCACTTTCTTTCAGCCATGATGTGGGCTTAACGTTTTTCCATGTTTGCTTATGGATAATTCACTGACATTGACAGATCAGTTCCCTGCTTTTAAAAAAAATGATATTTCAATACAGATTGTTATTCTTGGCAAGATATAGCCTCCTAGTCTGTTATTCAGAATCCTGAAGGCTCTAATCCTCATGATTTTATAAAACTGGGTTTCTTTCTTATGGGAGTTTCAGAGCACCTGTGGAAATGCACTCTTCGTTCCCACCCTGGTCTCATGGCTCCTGTGCTTCCTTCCCACGGCAGGCAGCAGAATTTCTTCGCCTCTTAGCCCAATTCGATGACATGGGCTTCCGACAAGCCGACATCAAAGAGGTCCTCCTACTGTGTGAAAACCACCGAGACAGGGCCCTGGAGGAGCTCATGACACAAAGCCAATGAAAGCGGACCAGCGTCCTATCCTCCCCTCCCCAAATGAGTCTGTAAATATTGTAGTCTCTCAAACATTTATCTTATGATTCTCTTCAATCACCATTTGGAAAGCTCGCCTTTGTGATTTGTTCTAATCTTTTCTTTAAAAAAAAAAAAAAAAAGCTTGTTATTGAGCCAACCCTGGATACACATTGGGGATGTACAAGCCAGCCTGAATGACTTAATTCTACTTGGTTCATAGGGTGCCCGAAAGGCTTTGTTTATTATTATTATTATGGATCATCGCACAGTTAGCCAGATGTTCAGAATGGATTTGGCATTTTGTCTACCTATCGAGTCCTTACTAAGGACCTGGGAAAGGCAGATGTGGATGTTTGATGGTATTACAGATATCGTCACAGGATGGAAGCCGTTCCTAGTAAGGCCGCCTTTTGCAATTGACTAATGGCGAATTTGTCAATGCCGATGATGGTGTTCAAGTGGTGCTCCAGTTGTTTTGGGGTTGCACCCAAGGTGCTTATTATTATTATTATTATTATTATTATTATTATTATTATTATTATTATTATTATCATCATCATCATCATCATCATCATCATCACCACCACCACCACCACCACCACCACCATCATCATCATCATCATCATCAAACATTTTAAGCTGACACTTTAACATTTTAAAACAACAACAACAACAACAACAACAACAACAACAAAGTAAGGAATAAAACCAGGTGAGTAGTAATCTTTCCCGGCAGGACCAATCAGAATAGAGCTGGAAAGGACCTCGGAGGTCCTCTAGTCCAGCCCCCTGCTCGAGCAAGTGACTCTACATACAATTTTAGACAGTGTCCTTCAAAACCTCCAGGGATGAAGCACCAGATGTGGTTCTTACAAGCGCAACATTCTCTCTGGGATACTAATTTTTTCCACTAATGTAGATGAAATGAGATGCTTTGATTTATTTATTAAATGTATGTGCCGCCTGTCTCGCCGAGAAGGAGACTGCGGATCTCGATCATTTCAACAATGCTGCAATATTTCCCAGTTTCTTGGGCAGTGGTCACACTGGGCACTTAATTCTGGTGTTTAGAATCATAGGGCTAGAAGCCTCTTCTAGTCCAACCCCCTGCTCAAGGTAAGAGACCTTAGACCAGGAGTCTTCAAACTTGGCCCTTTTATGACTTGTGGACTTCAACTCCCAGAATTCCTCAGCCAGGCACATGTGCCTGGCTGAGGAATTCTGGGAGTTGAAGTCCACAAGTCATAAAAGGGCCAAGTTTGAAGACCCCTGCCTTGTCCAGTCTGTTCTTGAAAACCTCCAGTGATGGAGCGCAACACAGCTCTGGTAGGCAAGCTGTTCCATTGTTCTCACTGTCAGAAAATCTCTCCTTACTTCTAGACTGGATCTCTCTTGAACAAGCTTCCACCCATTTACTTCGTGTCCTTCTCTCTGGCGTTTTGGAGGATAACTCAATCCCCTCTTCTCTGTGACAGCTGCTCAAGTACTGGAAGACAGCTCTCATGTCCCCCCTAATCCTTCTCTTTAATAGGCTAAGACATACGTATTTCTATTGCAAGTCCCATGGAACGGTTTCATGCTGTGACTAGATCCCTCTTACCTACGATTCCAGTTTTACCCTTGCATTAGAAGCTGGCAGAATTAACTCTGCTCTTTTAACGAGACCGTCTGGATGGAACAAAACCGTTTAGTGCAAAAGGATAAACCCGGCTCAAATTCATCTCCAAACTGGCTCAATCTGTACTCATTTTGAAGCCATTAGTCCCCTACCCAGGGTCTATTTATAGCCTGTCTTAGCTTTAATTGCTGAGAATATCAATTCTATAAACACATACACAGAACTTGTTTATATCACCACAGGAAACGGGTTGCTAGCTAAAGGAACAGTCTTGGCAGGCGTCCCCCAGCTCCATGCAAGGGCAAGTCTTTTTCCTCTGAAGCCCTGAGACTTAAAATACTTCACATTGAACTGAAGTCCAACACACTGCATTCAAAAGGAATAAAACCAGGTTAACTTTCCCTCAAGTTTAGCAGGTTTCTTCCTGGTACACTTTTAAATTTTTATTTTTATTTTTTTTTAAAATAGCATTTTACATTTCCTGCACTCTGTTTGAAATGCTCGAAAAAACACCCCCTGCTCTAAAAGCAGGGTGCTAATGTTGGTAGAAGATGGTAGAGGACAGGAAGACCTGGAGGAACATTGTCCATGGGGTCCCGATGGGTCGGACATGACTTCACAACTAACAACAACAACAACAACAATGTTGGTGCGATTCAGTGGTGAGAACCCAAGGCAGTTAATCCATCTTGTTTTTTCAGCAGATGCAAAAGACACAGAGAAGGCCCCAGGTTCAATCCTACAGGTAGAGTCAGGAAAGTTTCCTGCCTGTGACCGGAAACAGCTGTCTCTTCTGCTGAGACGAATAGATCCGTGATCTGCGAAAAGCACTTTCTCACCGATATAGGATGAACCTATTTTCATCCTTCTGTTTGGAGAACACATCAAGAGAGATTTACCCTGTCCAGGAAGAAAGATCTCTGCAAAACCTATTTAGCAATGTGGAGGCCTCATCCTCAGTATCCTTCAGGGGTAGAAGATATTTTGGGCAGGCAAAAGTCTCAGGATCAACCCCCAGCGTCATTGGCAGCATCTGGAAATGTTCCTTCTTGAAGCCCCAGAAACATTCAGGGGGACACCTAGAGGTAGTTGCACTGAAAATGTGATTTATCCTAGGGCGTTTCCTATGCAACATCTCCACTGGGTTTTGCACTACATGCTAAATGGAGATCAGTAGCTTTGGTTCAGTGTTCTGGGTTCCTACCGTAGTGTAGAATGAATCTGGCTGTTGCCTTAAGCCCAAAAAATTGCTTAAAATTCAGATAGGACACATCTGAACTGCATCTCTCCCTGTGTTAACCTGGATTAATTTTAGCTTCATTTTTTATGACTCAATGTGCAAATCCAGCCTATTTGTTTAATTCATCTCACTATTATGCATGTCTAGAAAATGGATTAAATCAACAAGCATAATTAAATGTATTGCCTGAACCCAGTCAGTATTAGCCAGCTTCTGCTTGCCAGGTGATGGGGCTAAACCAACATGGCCGAAATTTCAGGAGACGATATCCCAAATGTACTAGATCCCCATTTCTCTTTCTTCCATATTTCCCCTCTGGGCATCCCTGGCCTTCTGATGGATTAGAGGCTTTTTCTGCATATATCCCATCTACTACCCCTACCAAAGCCTGGCCTGTCAGAATAATCTTGTTGCCACTAAGGAGTAGATGAAAACTTCATTGCTCACCATTCATACAGCCTCAAGCCCAGCTAAGTACCAAGAAGACAAGAGCACGGTTTCTGGTACAATTGCTGAAGTTTGCCCTAAGTATCTTCTTGGGACTTTCTTCCCTTGCATGAACCATCATGCTCCTATGACGGTTAGATCTAGCTGTATCACAGGAAGTCTGGAAAAATTAAAAAGCGGACTATCCAGAAAAGTCCAGATGTGATGTCAGGTGGCCACCGCTCAATAATCCACGGAGTTGCCCACGTTTATGTTGCAATACTGTGATCTGTTCTCGGAAACCTGAGAAGGAAGGTTTGCAGAGATCCACTCCTTGGGAAACCAGCTTTCTCCTTTTTGAACTTCCACGTGCTGTCCTCGATGGTGTAGAGCAAGGTCAACATCTTGTTGACCGTATAAACCGTGTCCCCCTTGATGATGGCAGTGAAGAGTGCTCCTTTGCTGTTCATGTACTGGCCAGGTAAAGATGTCCATTGCATCGTTGTGAGATTGAAGCGGTCTATCATGCATCGCAGGAAGTCATCAAAAGGCCCATTGCGCATGACGTAGAGGTTGTCCCTGTGAGACACCATGCAATGGCCGTAACTCTGAGGCCGAGTCAGGGTCGAGATGGGAAGCCATTCATCCTTCTGGGGCAGATACTCGTAGATGATTGTGGTGTCGAGAGGTTTCCATAAACAAACAAAGATCCGTCCCATGGCTTGGGCACAGGGTACAGCCGCTGCCGCTTGGGGCAAATCCGACAGGAAGTCCCACTTGTTGGTGGATAGATTGAATTTTTCTACAGATTTCAGCGGCGTCTTCTCAAATTCACCACCAATAGCATAAAGAGTATCTTCCAAGGCTGTCAAGGTGATATCGTACCGAAGTTGCTGAGGGCTAGAAAATTGACTCCAGAGGTTGGTTACCGGATCGTAGCAAAAGCTTCGGTCCACCACCTGCTTGTTGTACCCGTAGACCCCACCCACAATGTAAATTTTGTTATCTAGGGTCGTCATGCCAGCTAGAAAGGTGCTGGCAGTGAGTGGCAGATAACAAAGAGTCCTCCAGGTGTTGGTTTCCTCCTCCAGGTAGCAAATGGATCGCGAGACGTCCTCCAGGAACTCATAGGTGGGTGTGTGAGCTCCCACAGCCACAAAGCTACTGGGGAGAAGAGACTCGACATAATCCAACAGATCTGGAGAAAGGCAGTCCAGATATTCCTCCAGCTCGGAGTAACTATCTCTTATGTAGAGGGCAGCTTTATGGAAAAGGTCCAGAAGGCCAAACATTGCAGCAGCTTGGTACAGGATGATGCAGTTGTCAGAATTGATGGACACAATCAAGTACCTGGCCAGGGCTTTTACCTGCAAGAAGGAGGCACATTCTACCGCTTTGAGGTTCTCCTCACAGCTCAGCAGTGGACATTCCCCTTCCAGAACTTTTAGCAGGATACAAAATCCAGCGGAACTCAGATTCCTGATCTGGATCTCCTTTTGAGTGCTCTCCCTCATGCCGGACTGGAAGAGAGCCCGGAAATATTCACTGTGTTCCACCAGAAGATCTTTGTCCACTGAGAAAAAGGTGTCTTCCACCTGGATCCGGACACGATCCACAACTTGTGACTGCATGGCTCCGTTTCTTTTTCCCAGGATTGCTTCCTCCCTAGTCCCATCCACCAGCGTCTTGCCAGGGATAAAGCAGCGGTCCCTGTTAACGTCTAACCTCCTGTGCTGGCTTGAGCAGCTAAGGTATGCTTGCACGCTCTCTATATATAAATACGTCCTGCTAAAGATAACTGGTCTTCATGTGACCAGAGCAGCCAGCAACATGAGCAGGATCAGATCCTTCCAATGCACTTTGCAAGCTGATATCAGCAGCATTTCTTCGGTTCCAAGCAAAGGAGAGAGAGGCTGTAACGAAACAAAAACAAAGACAACAAAACAAAACTCTTCTTTCGATTAGACAGATCTTCAAAGGTCACTGTGATTGTGACGCTGAGCACAACGGCCCTCACTGCCTCTAGAATGGGGGTGCCCCCTTTTCTCTGGGGTACAAGGGCACTGGGCTTGTGGGTGGAATGCCAGAGGCCACACTCCGAAAGTGGTGGGACAGTGGATGATGAGGCGGGTGGGACAGGACAAACCCTACATTTGATTTCAGTTGGTTTAGCTGAGGTTAAACTTAAATTTCTTTCCATATCCATATCCATAGAATAGAATAGAATAGAATAGAATAGAATAGAATAGAATAGAATAGAATAGAATAGAATAGAATAGAATAGAATAGAATAATCAGAGTTGGAAGGGACCTTGGAGGTCTTCTAGTGCAACTCCCTGCTCAGGCAGGAAACCTTATACCATTTCAGACAATGGTTTTCCAGTCTCTTCTTAAAAACTTCCAGGGTTGGAGCATTCACCGCTTCTGGAAGCAGGTGGTTCCACTGGTTAATTGTTCTAACGGTCAGGAAGTTTCTCCTTGGTTCCAGGTTGCTTCTCTCCTTGGTCAGTTTCCATCCGTTGCTTCTTGTCCTGCCTTCAGGCGCTTTGGAGAATAGGTTGACCCCCTCTTCTTTGGGGCAGCCCCTCAGATAATAATAATGATAAAGTTGGAAGGGACCTCAGAGGTCATCTAGTCCAACCTCCTGCTCAGGCAGGAAACCCTATACCATTTCAGACAAATGGCTGTCCAGTCTCTTCTTAAAAACTTCCAGTGTTGGAGCATTCACCGCTTCTGGAGGCAGGTTGTTCCATTGGTTAATTGTTCTGACTGTCAGGAAGTTTCTCCTTAGTTCTAGGTTGCTTCTCTCCTTGATGAGTTTCCACCCATTGCTTCTTGTCCTGCCTTCAGGCACCTTGGAAAATAGCTTGACTCCCTCTTCTTTGGGGCAGCCCCTGAGATACTGGAACAGCTGCTATCATGTCCCCCCTCGTCCTTCTCTTCGTTAAACTAGACATCCACTGTAAACTTTAGACTTCTAAATCGAAAGCCTCTCCTGATTGAACCTTTGTTCCTTGACCCTTAGGAAGTGCACTATAGCCCAAAACAGACACCTAAAAGTAGAGGGGATCTGGGTGAACCAGCTACCCTTCAGCATCTTCGGCCGTGATCGATTTCGTTAGTGAAGCATTTTGGCTTAAGGAAGGAAGAAAACCAAGGGACCAGAACTTGAAATCTCCTGCCCAATCGCTCTGTCCAGATTGTGCTGAGGGTGCAAATGAATCAACTGTGCTTCATTCCCCTCCCCCACAGCACTGTTTTCCCTGCATTTCCCCAAACTCTCATTACATGGAAAAGATAAAAGTGTTTCTGCTTCATCCCTTCCATACAAGAAAGTTTTACGGTTGCAACGTGATCACCCACTCATGCAAATCTTCCAGTGTTGAGCCTCCAGTTTAGAAGGATGGGCGTTTGCCAGAACCCAAGTTTACAAAAAGTAAAGTGCAGTACGGTGAAGACCTGTTATTTTCTCATTTCCCATTTGGATCTGCTTCCACGTAACTTGTTTACTCCGAAACCCATCGAATTTCATCACTCCTTTATTACAGCTGTATATGTGTGTGTGTGTGTGTGTGTGTGTTTGTCTTTGTGTGTTTGTGCACACAGGAGCTAATGTGTATGGAGCTGTAGTCAGATTATCCGAAGAAGCCACTACCCAGGTCAAAAGCTGTCCCTTAAAAAAGATAAGTGAATAATGCTCAGGATCCTGCTGAACACATGAAAGTTGTTCAGAGATGAAAGAATTCTAGCAAGTATTCTTTTGGCATTGGCTTTGCAGTTTTTGCCCCAAGGAATTTGTGGCAGGCAGAATGAACACATAAAGTCCAAAAAAACTTACTTACTTACTTACTTACTTATTTCCTTCCTTCCTTCCCTCCTTCCTTCCTTCCTTCCTTCCTTCCTTCCTTCCTTCCTTCCTTCCTTCCTTCCTTCCTCTTTCTGTCCCTTTCCTCTCCCTTCCTTCCTTCCTCTTTCTGTCCCTTTCCTCTCCCTTCCTTCCTTCCTTCCTTCCTTCCTTCCTTCCTTCCTTCCTTCCTTCCTTCCTTTCTTCCCTCCCTCCCTCCCTCCTTCCTTCCTTCCTTCCTTCCTTCCTTCCTTCCTTCCTTCCTTCCTTCCTTCCTCTTTCTGTCCCTTTCCTCTCCCTTCCTTCCTTCCTTCGTCTCCTTTCTAACTTTTACAATGTCTACCCTATAAATTTGACTGCAATATTTCTTTTTTTGGCTCCTTTTCCCTCCTGGAGCAATTGTGAGCTGAATTTTTGAGGGCCCTTGCCTCTTTAACATAGATGTATGTAGGAAAGAAAAAAATCTAGCGTTATAATGCACAAAAAAAGCTTCCTGCCAACCTGAGTTGAACTTCTAAAGTTTCATATCTGCGTGAGTCTCGGTATGTGTGCAGAAAGCAGCTGCCAGGCTGCAAAGCAACGCAAGAGCCTTCAACCTATTTTTCATTTAGAAGAAAGTTTGGAGTTTCACACCAACCGCCCTTTTCATGTAACAACATTTCTCCTTTCCCTGCACATCGTGAATATAACAAAGGCAGTTAGAGAACCAACATCATCACTGCATGCCATAAATCCTACTGTACTAAACGGGAATTATAGCTAAGTCAACGTACTCAAAGCCTTGTCACAAGTCCACTATCCTCAGCCTGAGAATGGTGGCAGTTGACACATCTCGAAAGTAGCAGATTCGGTATTATGGTTTTAATCATTCTCAACAGAAGGATTTCTCAGTCTAGTTGATCAACAGGACTGCCTGTCATTTTTAAACAGATAAGATAAGATAACCTTTATTGACATTTTTTTCACTGTGGGCACAACGGCACACATCAAAAATGAAATTTAGTTGCCCGCTCTCAAAGTGAAACACATACATGACAAGACAGCTAAAACATACTATATACAACATATGTATAGACCCACACCCCTACATATACATAGCAAATAAATATTAAGTACTGTCCATCTTGAATATATAACGGAAGGAGGACGCTTGAGAGTTCACAAGGTTAATGCTGTATGGAATGAAACTATGGCTGAATCTGGATGTTCTGCTATGGATACCACGGAGCCCTCTCCTCCCAGAGGGTAACAAGGAAAACAGGTTGTGAAGAGGATGTGTAGTGTCCTAGATAATCTTACGGACCCTGCTCAAGCAACGCTTCTGTGCTATGTCCTGGATGGGAGGGAGCCCAGAGACAGAAAGGAAAAAAATATATACAAGTTGGTCTGAAGCACCCTGCACTGGATTCACCTTCGAACATCTGCGCTTTCCGTGGAAAAGCTCCATGTCCTTCCATGCCTTCTACCCAGGGATTATCTCAAAAGATCATCTGGCTAGATTCATACAAACAGCCAAGCGAAGAACAAGGAAACGGCAGAGTGGATGCCCCACAGATGCTCTTTTCAAGAGGCAAACTGGAGTTTGTTTTTGCCTTGAAGACGTTTCACTTCTCATCCAAGAAGCTTCTTCCGTTCTGACTGAACGGAAGCCAGAACTGAAGAAGCTTCTTGAATGAGAAGTGAAATGTCTTCAAGGGGAAAAAAACAAGCAAAATCCAGTTGCCTCTTGAAAAAAAAAACCACCCATGGATCAACCAGGGCCTGAATGACTGGAAATCTCCACAGAGATTTCCAGTCATTCCATTAATATGGATATTTATTGTAATGTTGTTTTATAAGGCTGTTAGCCGCCCTGAGTCCGGTGAGGAGAAGGGCGGGATACAAATCAAATTATAAATAAATAAATAAATAAAGATATAGTAGATGGATTTGTGCAATTTCTGAGCAATCATGTCATTTGCTAATTAATGGTTTCTCCAACATGGTTATGTTTCAGCGTCTAAGGTGAATGCCGTCCGTTATGGTTCATTCAATACAACACAATGAAATAAACAACAGCTTGATGCGTTGGCTGAATCCTACCTCTTACCCAGAATGGTGAGAAATTAATCTTGGTTCAATCAGGGACGGTGGTCAAATGTTTGCGGCAAGACCTTCCACTGGTGCAGGATTGAGGTCATTTTAGGACCTTTAAGGGAACCTCTTAAATGCCAAGTTCCTTCCTTTGATTGTCAATGTTTGGAGGGGTTCTGGGTTACACGCAAGACTTCAGGATCCTGCATCCGTCCCTACTCTCGCAGATTTCAAGATCCAGGCTGGGGTGGGCAGTGAAATTAGAGAGGTGCCAAGTTAGGTGTCAGTCCAGGTCACTAGCGATTGTCTGAAGATGCCAAATATGGTGCCAGCAATGCCTCTTTAAAAAAGAGCTGCTTCTTGATGCCTATATTTATCCCAAGAGCAGGATTAGGCTGGTCTTCGCCCCAAAGTCTCCTTCCCAGAAAGAAACCCACATCCCTGGCCCAGAGTGGGGCAGCCCCTGGGCCAGTTTTTAAACTGGTAGCTTTAGATCCCCAGACAAGCTAAAGGAGATCCAGGAGAGAACTGAAACTCTTTTTTTTTCCCACTAGAAGAATGAAGCTAAGAAGCAGCGTTTTACGTTTGCTTTTTTTGCTCTCTCTCCCTCTCTCTTTCCCTCTCTCTTTCACTCTCTCTCTCTCTCCTCTCTTTCTCTCTCCTCTCTCTTTCCCTCTCTTTCTCTCTCCTCTCTCTCTCTCTCTCTCTCTCCTCTCTTTCTCCTCTCTCTCTCTCTCCTTTCTCTCTCTCTCCTCTCTTTCTCTCTCCTCTCTTTCTCTTTCTCTCTCTCCCTCTCTCTCTCCTCTCTTTCTCTCTCCTCTCTCTTTCCCTCTCTTTCTCTCTCTCTCCTCTCTTTCTCTCTCCTCTCTCTCTCTCTCCTCTCTTTCTCCTCTCTCTCTCTCTCCTTTCTCCTCTCTTTCTCTCTCCTCTCTCTCTCTCTCTCTTTCTCTTTCTCTCTCTCCCTCTCTCTTTCCCTCTCTCTTTCACTCTCTCTCTCCTCTCTTTCTCTCTCCTCTCTCTTTCCCTCTCTCTTTCTCTTTTTCTCTCTCTCCTCTCTTTCTCTTTCTCTCTCTCTCTCTCTCCCTCTCTCTTTCCCTCTCTCTTTCACTCTCTCTCTCTCCTCTCTTTCTCTCTCCTCTCTCTTTCCCTCTCTCTCTCTCTCTCTCCTCTCTTTCTCTCCCCCCCCCTCTCTCTCTCTCTCTCTCTCTCTCACTCACTCACTCACACACACACACACCCCTCTGGCCTCTGGGCATCCTTGACGTCCCCCTCGCCCCCCTCCAGTGAGAGAGAACGGCCTTTGCTTCTGCCCTGCCCTCTTGTTGATGGGAAAACGTGTCTGTCCCAGGCCAAAAACACGGCAGCAGCTTTCCTTACAAGGAATTTGGCCGGAGCTCAGCTGGCAAAGACTGCCCAGGGAAGGAAGGGACTTCTTCTCCCTTCTCTGCCTCATTCATTCAAGTCAGATCCAGGCGACCAGCAGCTGTCCAGAGCGAGCGCTTGCCTCTCCGTTCCCAGCAGGAGAGACCTGGCTTCAGGCTTGCTTCTTTCCCCCACCTCGGTCACCTAGAGCTTTATTTAAAAGGGAATTGTCTGGCAGCTGGACCCAAACTAGCCTGGATGGATGGACGTCTAACCTGACTTGGATTTCTCCAGCGTTCTTCAATGGGGCTCCTATTATAACCTGAAGAAGGTGAGCTGGTTCGTGGCAGTTCAGACTCGGGAGGAAATATTTCCCTTTTGAAGGTAGCAATGGGCATGCTTCCACTGGCTTTGAAATGGGGCGAGCCAACCCTGGTTGCGTGGGGAATCTTCTGACTCATTCTGCCCACTAGAGCCAGGGGCATCAGCCCCAACCTTTTAGCTGTGCGACATCCCAACTACCGGGATGGGTGGGAGAATTCCGCTTGGCTGTGTCTTGAATGATACATGGTTAACTAAGCCTACTAATTAACATGGCCTCCTAGGTCTGCACAGCACACTCAGCTACCAACTAACAATAAACCTGGATTCTTCTAATCTACAAGACTACAAGCATAGGTTGGCTGTGAGGTCAGCCCAGAAAATATAGGGGCATACCCTAGTAATGTTTACAGGCTGGGTTTTTGCCCAACAGGCTTGCCCGTGTTTACATTGGCTCAATAAATCCTATTTTATGGATGTGCGTGACATCCTAAATCATAAACAGACCAGCTTTGCACAAGATGCCAGGCTCAATGAGATTGGCTAGTTTGTGATTCACAGTGTTGTGAGAATTCAGCCAATCTATATTTGACGGGACGGCATAAGACACTACTTTTGAGCCAAGAAGCAAAGAAAAATGTGTTATAATATTGAGATGTATTAGGGACACAACTGCTCTTTTGTTACATCTATACCACATTTCTGGTCTCAGTGTTATCTCTGTTTAATTCCAGTGCACAGGTCTGTGTGAAATCCATGCTGGATTCACACGTTATCCTAAAGTCCTTATCTTACTTTGTGTACTGTGGAAACTCAGCTGTGATGGTTGGTAAATTTGTATGAGCCTGACCAGCTTTTTAAAAGAGGGGGGAAAAAACCCTGCCCCCTTGCAGAAGATCCATCTTCAATATTTGAGAGACTCACATGGATCAATTTAATCAAGGCAAGAACAATTCTAGGAATGTTAATCCCAGAGTTATTCTGGATTTCGTCCACGGCCAACTTCTCTTCATTGGACTACTGACTGCAATAGACACAAAATAAATAGACATACAATTACATATTCCTTTTATGTTGATTCTAATATAAAAAGAAGCTTTGTTTTATTGATGGGGAAATCGGCTCCTAACCTACCTTTGAGTTTCCTGGATGTGGTTCTTGCAGGTATAAAATGAGAGAATGAGGCAGAGATGGTGTAGAGGGAAAGATGCTTGATTAGGAGTGGGGAGATCCAGATGTTAGTCCTTTCTCAGCCCTGGAAGACTCGTGGGTGACCTTGGGTCAGTCAATCCCTCTCAGTCCCTAAGCCTATGCAATCCAGTGGAGAAGGTGCTGGACTAAGAGCAGGTAGATTCAGATTCTAGCTCTTTACCCACAGAATCTCCTTGGGGAAGTTGAAAGCAGATGTTCTTTTAACTCAACTTACCTGGATAGATGTTGTTTGTGGAGAACATGCTCTATTGTGCTTCGGTCGAAGTACTAAATAAAAATATGATGCTATGAAGTTGATAAATCTTTGGGGGCTATGTTTGCAAAGATCCCCTAAATCTTGGCTTCCCCAACTACTGTCAAATTAACCCAACTGGTAAGGATAACACAACTCAGCAGACTATCAACTCACTCAGATTTGCATTATGCACTAAGCAAAGGGTGTCCAACCTTGCCAACTTTAAGATTTGTGGACTTCAACTCCGAGAATTCTGGGAGTTGAAGTCCACAGGTCTTAAAATTGCCAAAGTTGGACACCCCTGCATTAAGCCATGGTTAGCTGTCCAGATTTTAGACTAGCATGCTGTACAAACATGTTGTTTAACCCTGAAGGACTCTTACCTTTGATCTTCAGTAGGACATTACTTGAGTTATATGAAGCCCAGCTCTCTTTTTCTGCTTGGTGTGACCTTCCCCCTTTTCTCCTCTCTGCTGGCCTATCTTGGTACAGTTCAAAAGCAATTCTGACTTCTGTCCTGTCAACAAAATGTGTTTATTCCAACTCAGGGCTCTCTGAATCAAAAGCAGATGTGCTAAAAGGCTTAAAGCAGAAAAGATTCACATCAGTAGCTCAGCTCCAAACAGAGCCCCCTTCCAGGCCTGGATTAACAGGCCCTGGAATTTAGTTTGACCCCAAATATTCCTACACTGTCTTTAAAAGAAGCAGCTCACCCTTTGTCCTAGTTGTTTGCAGCAATAGCATTCCATACAATCAAACCATAAAATTATAAAACAGCAAACAATGATACAGGTTACAAACTCTAGAAATTAAAAAAGAAAGAAGCCTCAATGTTCTAAAATCAAAAACTGATTGCTGCTGAATTCCATCAAGAGATGATAAAGCAAACCAAGCATCTGGGCATGAGCAGAGTCCTGATCACCATCCATTTTGTGAAAGGGCTCTGATTCAAAAGAATGATGAGTTCTTGCTGTTCTCTGCCGCCCAGAAATATTCCCCCTTTTGTCAATCAGACGGATTTGATTAGGAGAAGCACCATTTTTTCTCAGAATAAGAGTTGGAAGAGACCTTGGAGGTCTTCTAGCCCAACCACCTGCAGGAACCCCTATACCATTTCAGACAAACGGCTGTCCAGTATTCTTAAAAGCCCTCAGTGATGGAGCACCCACAACTTCTGGAGACAAGTTGTTCCATTGATTAATTCTTCTAATTGTCAGGAAGTTTCTCCTTAGTTCTAGATTGGTTCTCTTCTTGATTAGCTTCCATCCATTGCCTCTTGTTTTTCCTTCTGGTACTTTGGACAATAGGTTGAACCCCCTCCCCTCCCTCTTCTTTGTGGCAGCCCCTTAGATATTGGGACACTGCTATCATGTCACCCCTAGTTCTTCTCTTCATTAGACTAGACATGCCCAATTCCTGCAACCGTTCTTCACGTGTTTTAATCTCCAGTCCCCTAAACATCTTCTCAATGATTATTCTTGGAACTATCATTGGAACATGACCAAGGATGGGAACTGGATTTGGCCTTGATGTCTCACTGGGCAGAATGATGTCAGGAGCGGTCCCTTTCCATTAAGTTGCAGCCCTGACATCATTGTGAAATAAAGATGGAGACCCTGGTTTTTTTTTTCCCCTCTAGGATTGAGATGAGTCAGTTTATAAGCGATAAGTGATGGTACTGCTTTATATTGCACTAGTGAGGCATGCTTGGAATACAGTGTCCAATTCTGGTCATCATGATACAAAAAGATGCTGAGGTCCCAGAAAGAATTCAGAACAGAATAAGAAAGATGATCAGGGATCTGGAGGCTCAACCGTACAATGAATAGCCAAGGGAACTAGGTTTAGGGCAGGGATCTTCAAACTCGGCCCTTTTATGATTCATGGACTTCAACTCCCAGAATTCCTCAGCCAGGCTGGCTGAGGAATTCTGGGAGTTGAAGTCCACAAGTCTTAAAGTTGCCAAGCTTAAAGACCCCTGCTCTATGGGCTTGTCTCATCAACCTGGTGGGACCAAGAGTATACCTCCATCTGTACTACCCCATCACTGATGCTCCAACAGATTTTGCTTGGGGTGCCAGCAATGGGAGAAGACATTTATTTATTTATTTATTTATTTTATTT